GACACATATGCAGGCATATGTATATGTAATAAAGTTAAAAATTTAAAAAACAAAAACAAAAAAGGTACACAAACCCACCCTCCAAATGACGCAGCAACACATAAGCAAAAAGGAAGCTTTGCCTCTGCAATGTTCTCCAATGTATGAATATTTTACATGTTGATGAGATGGGATTTATCTTTTCCCTGTGTTGCTTCTGCTTTTGATATCATAAGATTTACCTTTCTGTTGTTTCCTAAGAATTTTACAGTTTTAGTTTTTATATTTAGGCCATTGATTCATTTTGGGTAGAGATTTTTTTTATATGGAATGAAGTATAGAAGTGTCCTATATCCCTTCTTTTAGATTTGGGTGCCCAGTTGTCTCAGCACCTTTTATCGAGAAGCCCTTCTTCTGCCCTTAAATGGTCTGCCTCCTGCCAGGCGGTGGTGGTGCACACCTTTAATCCCAGCACTCGGGAGGCAGAGGTGGGCGGATCTCCGTGAGTTCGAGGCTGGGCTGGACCGACAGCCTCCAAAACAATACAGAGAAACCTTGTCTCGTAAGATAAAAAAACAAAAACAAAAACAAAAACAAAAAACCCCCCAAATGATCTGCCTTCTATTGAATATAGATTAGCCATCTGGACTCTCCATTCCATCCCATTGTTTATTCCATGACTTCGTGTTTTGAGTGTTGTAGCTTTGTTGTATGTTTGAAGTCAGGAAATGTGACCCCTCTAACTGTTGTTACTTAACATTGTTTTGGCTGTTTGAGACTTGGAATGTGCAGCTGAGGATTGGCTTCCATTTCTGCAGAAGGAGCCTTTGGAAATTTGACAGAATTTATTGAATCTGTAGACTTTAGACAGAATTGACATGTTGGTGTTTTTACTGTTCATAACGTCCGTTCCTTGGGTACTTGGAGAGAGTGTCTTGCACAGGTCTCTAGGGTGTGTGCATTTAGTGCTTACATCATGGGGAGTCGTAAAACCCCCATTTAGTCTCTTTCGTGTTGTTGCTGTGTCTTCCCATTCGCAGACATGGACTGTTGTGTTTATGTGGTCATCCTCAGTTCCCAACTTGTCATCATTTTCAGGGCACTGACCATCTTTTCACCTCCTTACTTGAATTCATTCCTATGTATTTTATTCAAAAGTGAGACCATAAGCTATTTCGGACATGGCAAAGAAATAGAATGACCAGCAATGTGCTCACCACCCAGTTTAGTCAGTAATGGGATTAAAGCCTCCCCAATTGCATTTCATTTCTGCTCTCGTAAGTTTAGTGTTTGCTATTACACAGGATAATAGTCTAGAGAACCTTTCAATGTACCACCTTACATGGAAAAGTAATTCTTTTCCCATGTGATTAAGGGTCTTGAGATGAGGCATTTATCCTAGATTACCAAATTTCAGGGTCCCTATATAAACGAAAGAGAGAGTCTGGGTTTCTTGTAATGTTCCTCTCCAAGGGTTGGGTGAGCTCTCAGATCTCCCACTTTCATGGCATGTATACATGACTATGGCCCTAAGGCTCTTTGTACAGGGTAGCCATGGGACTTCTGTGGGAGAAAAGAGGTTTATTTATTCATTTATTTATTGAAAGAGAAGTGTCTCAATATACATCCTAGGCTCTGAAACTCACAATCCTCCTGCCTCTGCTAGTAATGGGATTGCAGACATATGTCACTACATCCAGTTTATTGAAAGAGAAATGTCTCAATACACAATCCCCCTGCCTCTGCAAATAATGGGGTGCAGTTATATGCCTCTACATCCAGTTTATTGTCCTTTTGAATCGGACTGGTTACCCGGACACATGTCTGATGCTGCAACGATAAACGGCACACTTACTGAAAGTAAAACTAAGTATTTATTGTAGAAATTACTCACAAGATACCATACAAGTAACCCAGTTGAGCCGAGTAGTTTTCTGCCGCCGAACTGGAAGCCGAGAGCCGGAAAAAGAGACCGAGACTTCCGTTGTTCAGTCTTTTATACCTTCCCCCATAACACCCCTAGCCATGCCCAAAAGTGGGCTTGGCTTGTGACGTAGTTCACCGCCTACATCCGTATATGTCTTTAGTTATGCCTAAAGTGGGTGTGGTTAGTGGTGTGGTAAACCGCTCTTTTATTACCTCATCTGTATGCACCTCTAGTAAGTCACATGGTTAATGGCGGCATTGTTTTCCTCCTACAATTCCCCTTTTAGTCTAAAAAGGATATTTAAACTTAAAACAACTAACTTGTGTCAATGATCAAAATGTATCAAACATCTATCCCATCTAAACCTCAACTTATCTGAAAGAAACACCCAAATCTGAACACCTCCTTCCAATCCCAACTCTAAAATAATTGAAAACTAACACTAACAATTGTAAACTATCCTATAATATCAATAGTAGGGAGAGAGGGCGTGGAATTCTCAAAACTACTTCCTGCTGAGATGGGACGATGACAATCTCATGGGGACCTGTGAGAAGAAAAATGTTAGTGTAACAAAATCTCAGTAGATCAGACAGTCTCTGTATGGCAGGAGATGCTTGATTGAAGTTCCTGACTGGGGTTCTAGTGTTGATTGAAGCTCTCGTCTGAAGCTCTGGCCAGATTGTAGAAGATGTGCTGTTTCAGTTCCTTGGTCCGGAGTTGTGTCGAGTGATGTAGTTTCAAGCCAATATAGTGCTTGTCAGGTGGAGTCAATGCTGTGGGGTAGTTCAGATGCCTCCAGTCGAATCAGGTGAAGTCAAGGAAGTGGATCCTCATTCTCTTTCTGAAACAGTTGAAGATTGCTGTCAGGAAATCCTTGTTCTCTGGAAAACTCAAACATTAATGTTAACAAAGAAATATTTTAACTTTTATATGTATGCATACTGGAAGAGGTGACAATAGGGAAGATGGTAAACATGAAGGAAATTAGACTTTTCAGAAAAAGAAATCCACAGATAACAGTCCCTAATTTTATTTTCTTCTGTCTTATATCAATGGCTCTTTGATATAATACAGAAATTCTGAATTTTATTTAAATAATATGCTTGAATTTAGAGTAGGAGAGCCAATCCAACTCCAAAGCCAGCTTCAGTTAAATGAATGGGGACTGAGGTATGTGAAGAAATAAAGATAAAAGGGTACTATGAAAAACAAGTATAGAGAGATTTAGACTTTGATACCACACAGTGAGTTATTGTTTGTTTGATGGTCCTCAGGGTAGCTATTCATTCTTCTTCAGGAATCCATATGTCCAGTATTCTTTGCTGAGTTTACCTGTGAAGACAAAAAACAAAACACTTCTCTTTCCTTTTAGGAGGTCACTTTACCCATGGTAGAATATGAATTTGTAGATGAGCTGTTATCTTCCTCCTCCTGAGATGTCTTCTGTTCTGATCGATTTTAATTAATTTTGATGGAACCCAAAGCTTTTCTTCTCCTGTGGAAACAAAAGCATAACCCCTTCCCCAACGTAACACATATCCTGGTTTCCAGACTGAGGTCATAACATCCTTAAAATACACCGGTTGGTTCAGTTCAGAAGTCTTCTCTGTAGTCCAGTGTCTTTCTGCTGCAGTTTGTCCTTTTTCATCAGCATTAAGAAAATTCAACATTAGTAAAGCATTATGTAACCTGTGTTTAGAGGTCTTTGTTCTCCCTGGCTGTTTATGAAGCATCTCTTTTAAGGTTCGGTTAGATCTTTCAATCACTGCTTGTCCTGTGGGATTGTAAGGTATACCAGTTACATGTTTTATATTATAATATTATGCTGGAGCATTGTCAGTTTTTATTGTTTTAGGTATACCCATAACAGCCATCACCTCTAAGAGGTGTGTAATAACAGAATCAGATTTTTCAGAACTGAGGGCAGTAGCCCATTGGAAGCCTGAGAACGTGTCTATAGTATGGTGTACATATTTCAAACTGCCAAATTCTGGGAAGTGAAATACATCCATTTGCAAAAGTTCATTTCTGTGAACACCTTTAGGATTACAACCTGCTGGTAATGGAGTTTGATTGTAGAATGAGCAACTGGAGCAATTTCTTACTATTTCTTTGGCTTGTTGCCAGGTGATAGAAAAATCCTTCTTTAAGCCTTTGCTGTTAACATGGTGTTTCTTATGAAATTCTGAAGCTTCCAACACATTACCTACTAATAAACGATCAATTTCATCATTGCCTTGTGCCAGAGGACCTGGCAGACCTGTATGGGATCTGATGTGTGTTATATATAGGATGAGTCCTGTTTCTGCCGGTTTCCTGTAATTGTAAAAACAATGAGGTTAATTCTGTACTCAGGAACAAATTCTGCAGTCTTAATGTGCAAGACAACTCTCTCTGCATATTGAGAATCCGTGACTATATCGAGAGGCTCTGTAAAGTCTTTAAGTACCATGAGAATGGCATATAACTCTGCCTTCTGTACAGAGTTGTAAGGGCTTTGAACTACTTTACTTATATTTCCTGATTTATACCCTGCCTTACCTGATTTGTTTGCATCTGTGTAGAAGGTAAGAACTCCAGAAATAGGTGTTTGCCTCACAATACGCGGAAGAATCCAAATTGTTTTCTTTATGACTTTGATTCTCTCTGTTTTGGGATAGTTATTACTAATAGTTCCCAAAAAGTCACTGCAAGCTATTTGCCAATACTCATTATCCTTCCATAAGGAGGACATTTCCTCATTCGTTAAAGGTACAATAATTTCAGCTGGGTCTTTCCCAGTCAGTTGACAAAGCCTTAGCTTACCTTTTAATATCAAATCGGAGATCTTTTCTATATATGTTTTCAATGTTTTATTCTGTTTATGTGGCAGAAATACCTATTCTAGAATGATGTCGTCCCTCTGCATTAATATTCCTAAGGGGTATTCTCTAGATGGTAAGATAACCAGAATACAGTCCAGCTTTGGATCCACACGGTCCACATGTGCTTCTAATATTCTCTTTTCTACCCATTACAAACACACACAATAGAAGATCTACCAAAATTCATGTATCATTCAAAGTTATCTGTTTCTTTTCTCTGCATTTAGATTTTCTCGTACCTCAGTTTTAGAGATACGATCACATGTGGTCAAGTCAACCGCTCCTGGATGGCAATGACACAGAGAGGCTTCCTGTGGAATGCTGTAAGTAGACACGAAGGAAGGTGCTGCTCTTCACGGAGATTTGCAGTGGGCTGGGCTTACGTGAAGCCCTGTAGTAGGGCTGCGCTGTCTCCTGCCCCTCTGTCCCTTCTCTGCGGCCACCGGCAGTAAGCACTTTTTGTTTATGTTTTTGGTTCGTTGCTTAGTTAGGTTTGGTCAGCACAAGCCTGGAGGACGTGGTGAAAGTAGAGAGTAACACTATCTTAAGAGATACATGTGTATTTTGAAATTGGAATGGCGGGGTATGTATGCTGGATGTTATTTTCAGATTGAGGCAAAGCCCCATTTTGTTGGGTAAGTTGTACCTCATTCTTGTTTCATTATTTTACTTCTTGTCCCTGATGATGAGCACAGCCTCTATGTTGAGCCCTTGAGTGTGAGAAAGAAAACTTTTAAGAAAAAAATTGACTGAGCTGGGCCTGATGGTGTTCGCTTTTAATCCCAGGTAGAGGCAGCTGGGTCTCTGAGTTCCAGAACAGCCTGCGTTACATAGTGAAATCCTGTCTTAACACTCCCCTCAACTTGGGGGGGGGATAAATTTTTCTTCATTATTAGTTTGCATAATTATTTTATGTGTTTGGGTATTTTGCCCGCATGTATGTCTGTGCACTGCACACATGCCTGGAAACTGCAGGAAGAGGGCATTACATCCTTTGGGATTGGAGTTACAGATGGTTGTGAGCCACCATGTGGGTGCTGGGAACTGAACCCGGCTCCTCTGGAAGAGCAGCCAGAGCTCTTCACTGCTGAACCATCTCTCCATCCTGGGGCATGGTGGTGGTGCGGCTTGGGAGCGCATGATCTGTAATGATCACCTCATGGCTCATAACTGTGTATCTCTGTGTATTTCCTCACTGGCATGCAGAACGGGAGCAGGCTTTTATAAGGATGCCAGGACTGACAGATAAGCAAGAAAACCTCATTGCCTCCTTACAATTATACCACACGTGAACACTCACGGGAAAAGCAGAATAGGAGAGGGAGAACCCAGGCAGGCTCTCTGCTCTGGCTTTGTTCTTATCATACCGCACTTGAACACTCAGGGAAAAGCAGGGAGAACCCAGGCAGGCTCTCTGCTCTGGCTTTGTTCTTCGCTGCTGTGGGCTTGCATTTTCTACACCTGGCAGCCTCTGGACAGAAATGCCGGCTTTGCCTGATTCCTGCTAGAGCACGTGTATCCAGCTGTCACATAAGCAAGAGATTTGTTTTTGTAAACCATTTGTTCTCTGAGTGTGGTCCTGAAACAAGGAGCATCAACACCACCGAGCTTGTGGGAGATACAAATTCTTAGGCTCCACCCAACCCCTCGGTTTACTGAGTGGGAACTCAGAGTAGCAGTCAGCAGTCTGGCCTTTCCAATCCTCCCAGACCATCCTTGCAGGCTCAGGGTTTAGAAACACTTTCTTAAACTGAAACCCAAGGCAGGCATATCTCATTGGTTAGCTCCGTGCCAGTCTTGCATACAGGGAGAAAAGAGCAGTCCCATCAGTGCTGGATGGTTTCCTGATGGATGCATGGGCATGGAGTTAAGTTTCCTCTGTAGTTACTGGCACCTTGTCTGCTCCTCTCAGCTTCTGGAAGGAAGTTTAACAGATTTTTGTACCTAGTGCCTGGCCACCTGGACACAGGTCAGTGTGAGTACTTGGTGTCATCAGTCCTCCAGTCACTATCCATGAGGGAAAGCGATAATGTCAGCTATGAACTAACTTTAGAAGGCAGGGAAGACGATGGCCACTGAAGCTTGACTGACAGAGAAGCGACTCCTGTTGTTCAGAGACATGAGAAGTCACCAAGAGACTGCATGCTTCACTTTTATTGTGGCCACGAGACTCCTCTTTGGAATGAGAAGTTCAGTGATCCCCAGCCTGTGAAAAGAATGAAGAAACAGCACCAGGGCAAGGATAGTATAAACCATTAGCCCCGAAGGTCACATTAGGAAATGCTGGGCTGTGTGATGGGCCTCTTGTATGTGTGCAAACACACTGACAGTATCAAGCAGGCTTGTTGTATACCTTGCACCGCGTGAAAAGGTGCTCCTTTCACATTTTGTCACCACTGACCATAGCTTTGGAACTAGTCACAAACAACTGCTCCTTAACCCTGGCCTGTACTCTTGGCCTCCCTAGACAGGCATTTTCATTTTCCTCATTTTACAGGTGAGAAAAATGAGTTAAAGAATAGCCCGTATTCGCACGTGTCTGGGCTAGAATTCAAACTGTAGTCTGACTGCCCACACGATGTGCAGCTAGTTACTAAACATGAGTGAGGAAACCCGTCACCTGCTCTTCCCCCAATTGGCGGCACAGGACCTGTGCTCCCTGAGTTCTGAGGAGCAGCTCTCATCAAAAGAATGGCATAGCCAGGCGTTGGTTGTAAAGAGAAGCCTTTTCCTTGAGAGAAGCCTTCCCGTCAGCCTGGTTCTAGAGCCGCATCAGTCCCAAATAAACACACAGGAGGCTATATTAATTATGAAGCTGTTGGCCTTGCTTGTTTTTTACTGACTAGCTCTGACTTAAGTAATTACCCCATAATTGTTAATCTAAGTATGTCTCTTACTGGAGAAGTTTCCGGGCTTCCTACCCCATGGTGTTACATCTCGACTCCTGTGTTTCTCCTTCCCAGAGTCCTCCTGGACTCCTAGTCCCTCCTATCTAGATTCCTATTGGCCAGCAGTGCTTTATTGACAAAGGACTTCCCCAACAGTTGGTGGTGCACGCCTTTAATCCCGGCACTTGGGAGGCAGAGGCAGGCTGATCTCTGTGAGTTCGAGACCACCCTGGTCTACAGAGCGGGTGGGGAGGGGAATGGCATGAAGCAATGCTCATGAAAACAGCCTATCATTAAATCACTTGGTAAGGGTCTTTTTCTGGACCGCGCCAAGTGTGGCATAGTTGGGCTGTGTTGGCGGAGGGGTCTTTGACTGCATCGTGCTCTTTTGCCCCAAGTTCAGCTCCCATCCAGTGCTCTGCCGCATGCAATCTCCAATTACTCGATCAGTCTCACTGGAAGACATTAGGCTATCTTCCTTTGCTATTAAAGTCCTGCTCCTCATTCTTTATGTATGCATGTCACTGTTAATTCTTACGGGTCAGGGTAAATGTTTGACTGGCCAATAATCCAAAAGTATTAAAGAATACTTGCTGTTACAACCTTTCTGAGCTCTCCCAGCTATTTGATCTATGAGATCTCACTGTTTTCTACTTCGTTTGTCTTAACTCACAACGGGACAGGATGCCGTATGTACATTGAGTATATGGTTCAGAGCCAGAGTGCTTGCCTCGAATGTATGGGGGTTTGATCCACATTGAAATCAAAAGTGTTTAAAATTTTTAACTGAGTGTACTTTATTTTTCATTGGCCAAGTCCAATACTTTTGGAAGTATGTTTGTGAGTATAGTATTTATTTTGTAAAAATTGCATATTAGAGAAGTCTAATGTTTTAGACTCTTTTTCTGTTTGAAAATGACTCCATGAAGAGCTTCTAGTATTTGATACTTTAAAATGTTTAAAAGTTTTATATGAAATATATCTTACTTCTTAATACTTTTTATTTATCTCTTTTAGATTGATTTTTCTACAACAAAAAACATTGCAGATAAATGTGTAGTGACCACTTTGCAAAAGTGGCGTCTAACTGTGCTGCGCCTGAACTTTCGAGGCTGTCTCTTCCGAACAAAAACTTTGAGAGCTGTCAGTAAGTATGCTCACACCAGTGGCCTACATTGCCATATCCGCTCAAAGTGAGAAGAGTTAAGGGGAGACTTCAGTGTTGCTAGATTGGGTGTTCTGGGAAACGGTCGTTTGTCTATTCTTCTTGACCACTTTTTTTCTGTTGTCTAGATTTCATGTATTTGTCATCAATGTGTCTGTTAAAACTAGAATACATTCCTGTTTTAAACAAAGTCTGACAGTAGGCATTAACAGCATCCCCCTTCATCTCCCTCAAACCATTCATTCACTCTGTCAGTTTTTCTGAAATTGCATTGACATATATATATATATATATATATATATATATATATATATATATATATGATTTACGAATGAATAGTGTCGACATTACACTCTTCTGCCCTCCATTTCTCCCGCTGTTAACCCTGAAGGTCTTAAGAACAGGTTAAGAAGATGATGCTGTTTCCAGTTTCCTTTATCTTGGAAATTTGTCTGTGTCGCCACTGATAGATTTACTAAGGTCTTCTCGGTGACTGTGAAATGGTATTTGTGCAGCAGGTGTGCTGTGATTTACTCACCTGCTGTCTTGCAGATGGTATGGAAGTCGTCGCAGTTCTCCAAGGCCACCTTGTGCTTGCATTGAGCCGTTTGTCTTTAAACTACGCGTTCTTTGAGATTGTTTTTTACTTATCCCCCCAGAGGAAACCATGGCTTTTAAAAGTATTTAGCCAACTGATTCCAGATAATGAGAAAAAATCCTATATGTATTTAACATATTCCTTTGGGAAAGTATGTTTCTTTTTGAAAGGTGTAAGAGGGAAAGTCAAGTTACAGAGTGACGTACACACAAACATGTTTGCCTGTGGTTCTCTGCATCTGTTTCTATCAGTTACTAGATGGAGGCTCTCTGATGATAATTAGGGTAGTCACCAATTTGATCACAGAAGAGGGCCAGTTCATGTACCTAATCACTATTGGTAGGAATCTTAGCTGGAGCCATCTATAAGGGAAGCTATATGGTCTCCTTTGTATCTGGTTTCTGTCTGACTCCACAAAGCTCCCCTTTCCAGCCATCTCTTTCAGTACTCCCCCTCGATCCCCATCCCATCCCTTGAGTTCCCATGCCCGCCGGTCTCCAGCCCACCCAGGAGATCTCTTCTATTTCCCCTTCCCAGGGAGATCCATGCAGTCCCCCCTTGAGCCCTCCTTGCTACCTAGCCTCTCCGGGTCTATGGATTGTAGCACAGTTACCCTTTACTTTACAGCTAATGTCCACTTACGAGGGAGTACGTACCGTGTTTGTCATTCTGTATCTAGTTCCATCCATTTGCTCTTCAAATTTCCTGATGCCATTGTTTTTAACAGCTGAGTAATTCTCCATTGTGTACATATACCATATTTTCTTTATTCTTTAGTTGAGGTGTATCTAGCTTGTTTCCAGGTTCTGGCTATTATGAACAATGTTGCTATGAACATAGGTAAGCAAATGTCCTTGTGTTATGTGTGTGCCTCCTTTGAGTATATGCCCAAGAGTGGTATCCCTGGGTCTTGAGGTAGATTGATTCCCAGTTTTCTGAGAAACCACCATATTGATTTCCAAAGTGACTGACTTTTTTTGCAGTCTTAAAGGTAAACAAAATAATTATAAACCTTCCTCTCTTTGTCTCTGTTTCTGTCTCTTTATCCTCCCACATAATCTCTGTACATGCACATACAGGAAAACATATCAAGCTGGGCTCTGGTCATATACATCTCTAATCTCAGCACTTGTGAAGCAGAGGAAGTCAGATCCCTGTGAATTCATGGCCATCCTGGTCTTCAGAGCTAGTTCTAGGGCAGCTAAGACTGTCATACAGAAAAACTCTGTCTTGAAATACCCCCCCCCACCAAAAGAAAGAAATACACATGGAAAACATATTGTTCACTAAATCTGTATTTTTCAAATAAAGAAAGTGAACTTTGGAAGTAAGGTTTAAAGTTTCAGTTTGACTTATGATTTTGATCACTGCAACAGTGAAGACTGGAGTGAGTTTCTGAGGAATTGAAGACGTAGCTCTAGAAGCTCACATTTTTGTTTTGTTCCTGGTCTCAGAGGAGAAGTCTCAGACTTTCATAATAAGTAAGATATTCTCTGGTGGTAACCCCTCCACCCAATGTTCTCGATTCAGTTGAGTAAATTCTATTTGGCACTGCGGGTCTTTCTTGTAAGTGTGCTGGGCACTGCAGTCTTTCTCGTAAGTGTGCTGGGCACTGCAGTCTTTCTTGTAAGTGTGCTGGGCACTGCAGTCTTTCTCGTAAGTGTGCTGGGCACTGCAGTCTTTCTCCTAAGTGTGCTGGGCACTGCAGTCTTTGTCGTAAGTGTGCTGGGCACTGCAGTCTTTGTCGTAAGTGTGCTGGGCACTGCAGTCTTTGTCGTAAGTGTGCTGGGCACTGCAGTCTTTGTCGTAAGTGTGCTGGGCACTGCAGTCTTTGTCGTAAGTGTGCTGGGCACTGCAGTCTTTGTCGTAAGTGTGCTGGGCACTGCAGTCTTTCTCCTAAGTGTGCTGGGCTTTTTTCACACATGTTGGCTTCATCACTTGCTACCTATTTCCCACTCTATTAATACAGCGTGGGTCACACCTATAGGTGTTTGGATAGTGAACTTTGCATTTCCTTTTGTTATACCTCAAGGGAAATAAGAACAAGTTTATTTTTGATCAAATAAGAATGACTTTAGCCCAGGAACACAGGTTCAAGTTGCCCTGAATAATATGTTCCCTGGAGTTGGTCACCTGAACCTTTTATAATCATTGAACAAAAAAATCATAAATTAAGGCATTTACTAAACACATTAGTGGGGGAATCAGGTAGGCTGTTATAACAAAGTGGTGGTGTCACTGCTATAGATTTTAATTTTAATTTTTTTTATTAGCACATCCTAGTTACACATAGTAATGGGTCTCATGATGGAATTTCACACATGCATATATTGTTCTGTGATCACCTCGTGCCCAATGATCCCTTTCCTCTTCCTAGCTAGTCTGCTTCTGTGTCCATGTCCCCCACAAATGTTTCTGTATGACCAGTCTTATCCATACATCATGTTAGCATACCGTTGCATTTTATTTTCCAACATTGTCCTAAGGATGTTGGCATGTATATTTTAAAGGACTATTAGTCTTGTATTTTCTTTCTTGTGATATCTATTTGGTGTCCTTGTTAGGATAATACGGGCATTAAAGAATGATTTCAGGAGAAATTCTCTCTCTCTCCTTAAAAAGTAAGAGAAGGGTTTAATTCTTTAAATGTCTGGTAGAATCTGCCAATGAGGCCATCTGGTCCTGGTCTCTTCTTTGTTGGAGGCTCCCTGTTGTTTATTTCCAGTCTTTGTTTACTATAGATCTATTTAGATTTTATTTCTTGAGTTAGTTTTGATAGTTTGAATATATGAAAATTTGTCAACTTCCTGTAGTTGGGGTGTAACTGTCAATAGTATTATCTAATAATCCTTTTTATTTCTGTAAAGTTGGCACTAACAATCTCTCTTTCATGTCTCATTTTTAGCAATACTAGTTTCTTGTTTGTGTTCTTTTTCTTGGTCAGGCTGGTTTATATGTTGTTAATTTTGTTAATTGTTTCAAGCAGTCAACTTTGTGGCTCTTTTTAAAGATACAAATAGCATATAAATTACCATTTAACCCCTATATGTGTCAGTTCTGTGCAATTAAGTATCCTCACATTGTGCAAGCATGGCCATCTGTCTCTAGAAGTATACTATCACAGAAAGCTGGAACTCATCACCCATTAAATCCCTGACTCCCCACTTCCTCGTTTCCCTAGCTCCTTCTGCTTTCTGTCTCGATGGACATGCTGACTCAGGACCCCACGTGAGTGAAATAACAGACTGGTTATTGTTTGGTGACTAGCTCATTCAGCATAATGTCTTCACGATTACCCTATGTTGAAGCTGTATATGTGCACATGAGTGCTTAGCTATTGTAGACATAAATTATGTTAGTTTTCTGTTGCTAGGACAAAAATTCCTGAAGTGAATAAACTAAAAGAAGAACAAGGTTGTTTTTCACTGATGGAGTCTGGATTTAGTCTGGGGTTCTGCCACCTCCCAGTGGTGCCACAGGCTGGAAATCAGACCTTTATAATTGGTCTTTAGGAAACACTGAAGAGCCAGGCTAAAGGTTTCCAACTCTTTTGGTTAGGTTCTACGACGTATAGTTGGAAATTATATAGTGAGAGTATATTTAATTTAGTAGGAAATTACTGAACTGTTTTTCTGGGTGTCAACACTCATTTGCATTCCGATGACAGTGAACAAGTGTCCCTGTTGATTGGCACTTGGTGCCGTGACTGTCCTGGAGTTTGGTCATTCTGGAAGGCATCCTACTGCTGTTCTCCCATTTCCTTGATGGCTTGTGCTCCGTGTGCTTACACTCACGTCTGTTAAGGTGTTGTGCTCATTTGTCGTCTCTTGGAGGCTGGATCTTGTAGCCCTGGCTGGACTTGACCCTCTGGTGATCCCCTTGCCTCTGCCCTTTTGAGTACTGGAATCACAGGCATACGCCACCACACCTAGCTCTATTAAGGTTTGGGGCCCATTTTAAAGTTGGCTTGTTTCCTTATTGTTGAATTTTAAGAGTACTTTGTGTGTTTTATTTTCCAATGTGTTGTGTAAATGCTGTCCATTATTTTTATTTATCTGTCTTCTTTTTAAACATAGACATAACTATAATTCTGTCCTGAATTTTGAAACTTACTTCCATGTAAGGGTTTCCTGGTGTTTAGGACAAGCCCTCTTGGCAGTTTGGGATAGAGAGGAAATAAGCTACATTGTTGTGATTGTGTAGAGTCCAAAGATCTTCAGATAATGAAAATTTGTGAGTCAAATCCTTTCCTATGCAATGGGTGTGTTGACTATGTGTTCTGTAGACCTACCAGGCTGGCCTTGAACTCACAGAGATCTGCCTGCCTTTATCTCACAAGTACTGAGATTAAAGGCATGCACCACCATCGCCCAGCCAGACTATGTGTTCATTATAGCAGATGATGATGTATATGAAGACTAGAATATATGAAACTAATGCTTTTGTTGGGATCAAGATAGCCCAGACATATTTTCTTAGTTTTTCTGTATATTTTAAAAATATAGTGATTCTTGGCCCAAATATCTTTATCCTGGCAATAATTAAGTAAACAAATCTGACGAAATCTTGACATTACTTTTAAGGAAGCAACCTGTCTCAACTATTATGATACTTTTAATTTGTCACCAATGATTTAGTAAACCTGTGTTTAATTCTTGTAACCTCGAGTGTATTAAAAGCCAAAGTGTTTCCACCCCCTCTGTAGTCTTCTACGGGAGTATATAGAATTACACATATTTCTGGCCAGAGGTTTGATTTTCTAATTTTAAGATTGGAGATAAATATTGGCAGAACTTTTGGGCCATCTGGCTGCCTGGCACAGGAGTGCCCCACAGCTCAAGGAACATGAACCGTAAAATGGTATCTTAAGACATTTTAAAGGCAGGCAAGGGAGCACTTTTCTGGAATTGGGCAAGCAGACTCATTACTGGACTGTATCATTTGTCAGAGCACAAGAATAACTCAAGTGTCTCTAAATAAAATGTGCATTTCCAGAGGGACTAGGCTCCAGAGGAAGGAATTGTTAGTGAATAAAATAAATGAGCTACATAATGTTAACTATCATTCCCAAGTAACTGGGCATTAGGCCAGCAGTGACTGGCTTAGGGGACTTCAACTCAGAGCAAATTTTACTTATAAAACCCAGAGAACCTTTGGTCTAGAAGAAAGATTTTTAAAACATAGCTTTATCCAAATGCTGCATTTTAAGTATACTGTCTCAAATATGTATATCTCAGAACTGTGATCTCTACTGAACATGAAGGAACACCCAAAGTCAGGCCATTGAGTAGCTGTCAAGTAAGAACTTGGCGGCAGAGGATCGATTGCACTTCCTTGAAGTTCTCAGCTGGAAATGAGCAAACCTTATGGTTTCAAAATCGTAACTTCAATTACAGCTCTGAGCAACACCAGTATTCCAGCTCTCTTAGCTCTGGGATGGCCCAAAGTCGTTTCTCTTATAATGTGTTCCAGAGCCTGTTTCCAAATACATCTCAGGGGATGGTGTTGGATATCGAAGTCAACCAATAAAAGCCCCAACTAGCCTCTAAAACTTGAAGCTGGGAACAATTTGGACCCTTTCCCGAATCAAACTCCATCTGCCTGCCTCCTTTCTATCATCCTTTGTGACTAGGGCTAACCTCTGCCACCAGCGCGGCAGCACCTGGAGTCTCCAACACCAGATCTTGACTGCTTCGCGGCCTCATTCTTAATTCTCTACGTGGAGGCTCGGGGCAATGATGAATGAATCCGCGGTACCTCTTGGGCATCTGTAAAGCCAACAGCTGTCTTTAATGACTCCTAGTGTGTGATGCAGGGTTGGCCTTTCCTGTTCCCAAACCTCTGGTAAATTCTGTAAGGTGTTCAGACGCGCACAATCCACACAGACGACCTGAACCGAGCCCGCACTGCTGGCAGTTCCTCTGGCTTTCCGTATCTTGGTTTCCCATGCATATTAAGATAGATTCAAATGTCTCTCTTGCCAGCTGCTCTCATTGGTGTTTCTGGGAGCAAAGGCAGAATGCCCCTCACATCTGCCGTGTTTTTTGGGAGGGGCAGGATCTGGGTCTGAACATTCTGGTGTGGGTTGTCAAGGGCAAGGCATGTACTTGGCTCTGCCACCTCTCAGCTGTGTGGCTTTGTCCTGGTTACCCAACCCCCTGAGCTGTGGATTTCTCATCTTTGAAAGGTAGATAGCATAGGTCCTCACAGGGATCCTGTGACTCACACGGAGACTATGAGAGGCCTCTAGTGCAGTGCTCAGCATCTGCTGACATTCTATACAGTTCCCAGTGCTATCTATCATAGGTCATCTTTCATGCACGACAGTTTGAAAAAGATCAAGGATGACCAGAGTCTAAACTTTGTACCAATGTCTTGACACAAGAGAAGTGAAAATATGGGGGAGGAAACCCTTGGGACGTGGTGTTTGCCTCAGGATCCGTGAATACTCCTCCTTACGGTTTGTCTAGTGTGTGGAGTGTCACTGAGAACGCCAGATTTATTTTCTCTATACACAGCCTCTTTCACTAGCTGTTTGTTTTCTAGGTGATCTAATTTTAACTAAAACCCCAGAAGGCAGGCATCACCTGAGAGCCTGTCCTCTCTTCAACTGTCTCTGATAGTATTTCTGTATTTTTTACCCCAGATTCTGACCCTGAATCCTAATTTTATCATTTGTTTCATGGTCCTTGACCTATTACGTCAGGAGGAAGTACCCCTTTCCCACGCCAAGTGGCTTCCTGACACAGATAAAAACAAATGAACAGTGTTGTTATCCACTGGTGGTTACAGGCCTTCAGGGCTCATGAGTCACACCACCTACTCAGCTGTTCTGGTCAGCTTCTCATACTACAAGCCTCAAAGTCTCTATTTGACTTTCCTTTTGTTAACAGTGAGGACTGATGGAGAATTGGGTTTGCCAGAACCTCACTCTAGAGCACACAGGAATCCAAAGTGCTAATCTACTTAATGCCTAAGTTGCCTTAAGCATTAATAACAGCAGAGGGTTGGTGGGGGGGGCAATGGACGACAATTCGTTGTGACTTCATTTTGATCATTTTTCAGATTGTATAAGGAGCTATAGAAAGACATAAAACTGAAACTTCTTTCTTAACTTTTATTTCAAAAAGCCATTAAAAACATATGCAAGAGATTGAAATTCTAAAGCCATATTAAGATCAAAGTCCCTCAGGTCACCAGTGTGGAATAGTTCCGTTACTTTGGGACCATTTCTGGCTATGTACGAAGGTTGGCATCATGATCCCCCTGCGTCAGCTTGGATGTTGGGATTACAGGCATGCACCACTAGTCCTGGCCCTGGGTGGAACCCTCTAATCAGTCACAAGGCAGACAAGCAGGGTACTTAGATTCCTACATTTACCACAACACAATGGCTTTGTGGCTGGGCTACCCTGTATACATAGGAATCACAATTGATCAAAGTGTAAACAAACCTTCTCCAGACACTGCACAGCACTGCAAGCTGGTCCCGGCTATCCCACTATGGTGATTCTCACTCTGTGCTTCTTTGCTGTGTGATCTCTGTGTATTTTTTCCCAGTCATCGTCTTCTGTGTCCTGGTCAAAAGTCTCAGGGTAGGCTGGCAGCTTGTCTTTGGGGCATTCTTCATAGTAACTCCGCACGTATTTCCCCACGGGCCATCCTTTGTATTCCTCTGGTGTTTTGCACTCCAGACCACTATAGTGGACATTGTAGTGGTGCTTCAGCCAGTAGTAGAGGTAGTGGATACTGTAGTCGCACCGCCAAGGGTTATCTCTGAGCCACAGGAGTTTCAGAAAATACAGATCTTCTAACACTCCGTAGTCGAAGTTCTGCAGGCTGTTGTTTGATAAGTCCAGCTCTTCCAGATGCGTGAGCCCTAGAAAGGCAGCTAGAAACAGAGTGTTAGCCAGTGAGCAAGGGAACTGACGACAGTTTCGGTCAGAGGCTCAGTTCTTGCAGCATTCTCTGCAGTGCATGTGCAATCCTCACTGTCTCCTCCTCTCTTTGAACTGTCTCGGAGGCCTGAAGATTGGGCAGAGCTTATCGTTTCAGTGCTCCTGTGAGGACAGGGAACTAACTTTGCTGGGGCCTCGCTTCTAGCTGCAGTCTGTTTCCTGCTATGAAGAAGTATGAAGGGAGTATGGCATTGTTTGCATAAAGACACTGAGCTAAACCAGATGGTCACCCTACCAACAGATTAAAAATGCACTGTGAGGCCTTCTTCCTTGAGGACTAGCCGCTGTGCATGATGGGTAGAATTCACCCGAGTCCTTCGGAGGTGCAATGGCTTTCTGACTTTGCAATCTGTGTTTTTGCCTGTCATTTGCATCATATTCTGGTATAATGTTTAGTCAGTAAGGGAAGTGCTCTCTTCCTTGCTATTTCTGTGGAGAGGATTTCTGGGTTGGGAGCTTTTGTTTCTTAGTGTGTCTCCCTACTGAACATATGAAGAAATGCAAAAATAAGAAATAAACTGTTATTCAAACAAAGCTTTTCCTAGATTGCATAGATCAGTGTGTGATATTTTATTTGAAAAAGTTACTTTTAAGCTAGACTTTAACGATTTTTCTGGAGCATGGAGAAGGCCTGCAGGAGGTGTTGACACCATGCAATTTCTGCCCAGTGCTCTGAATGTCCTAATAAAAAGTGCATTTTTCTTGTACTTACCAGGAAGATGTTGCAGAAAGGGGGGTGATGCATAAATAAAGAAAGTGTATTAAATGTAAGACCTTAGTATAGGAAAACATAGAAACCTAGGACAGCTTCTTAGGTTATTGGTGAATTCTAAAAATGTTTACAAAATAATCTATCCAGGTTTAGTGGCACTGATGGTGAGAGTCTATTTTTGTAGAATTCCAAGCCAACTAATTTCTAATTTCTACCAATGTTTTTAAAACATCGGGTTGAGTTTGGTAAGTGGTGGTAACTATCAAGATTCATATTGATTTAGCTGGATGATGGGCGATTAGAACAGAATAACACATAACAAAATAAAACAATTTTCCAAGAACAAAGAAATCTGCACATTAAGATCTATCACATTTCAAAATTTACAGGTCATTCCTAACTTCAAACATTTAGTTTCTGTTTTGAACATGTTTACATTACTCCTTCAAAGTGCCCTTGTGAGAACGTAGTATCCTTATTTTGAATCTGGAAATATGCTTTATATCAATACTATAAACTATTTTCATATCATCTTTTCTTGGACAAAACCCAAACAGACTACTTTCTCTTTTTGGACAAAGCAAGGGCTGAGGAGTGGGGGTAGGAGACGATTCATCCTTGTGATGATAATTCTGAAAACCAGGCATTTTGAGGATCATCTGCTAAAATTCTAGCATGAGGCTGTCACAAATTCACTTTTTTTGAAGCAAGTCAGTGCTCTGGGTTGAAAACACATGCAAATAAATAGTTTTGCATTCTATTTAAAAAGAGCTACAGTTGTTATTGAAGTGCATGTATCCAGCTAGGGCCTCTAGAAGGGCTAGTTTTGTTTCTTGCAGGAAGCAATGCCCCTAGCAGGGTGGGTTTTTTCTTTTTCTCCACAATCGCCTGCACTTTTCTAAACCATCACCCAGTTTTCTCCAGCCTGGTGCCCCACATTTGCTCACTAGGCAACCTAAATTCTTAAGGAAGTCTCGGGGAAGTGTTGCATCCCAAGGAGCCCGAAACAAGGTAGGGCTTTTTAAAACTGCTGTAGTTCATTTTGTCTGATTTAAGTTCTCGGGCCCACTTTCTTTTGTTCTAAAGGACTTACCAATAAAAGTACTTGGCACTTGGATCAATACATACCCATTGAAGAAAACGCTTCCCTTGCATTGAATAAAAAAGGGAGGATGGGAAGGAGGAGAGGGGGAGTGCTCTTTATATCTCATAGCTCTGCTGTGCCTGCCCTGTTGGTCCAGCACAACTGTTCACTGATGTGACGCATTAACCGAGGCTGTATAGTCATTGGCCCCTTAGGGTACTGTAACAGCAGCTCTAAGAGTCGTCTGCATTCATTGGTTGCACGTGTGTGTTTGCGTCTGTGTGCTGCTGGGAATTGAACCCGGGGCCTTCCTCTCGTTCTGTGAGTGCTCCACCACTAGGCTAACCCCTTGGCATCCTGCTGCTGTCAGCTGTCAGCTAGAGCTTTGAATGATAATATCACACAGAAATTAGATGCTTTCTAGGGGCCCTTGGCACAGCGTGCTTGTTCTGTGGATCTGTGGTCCTCATGAGGCACAAGAGGGTCTCTACCTCTGGGCTCCTTCACCTGTGAACTGACTTTGTAGACCCTGGATACCAGTGACCGATATGAACATTAGAGAGCGACTGTAAGAAAGAAATAGCTTTTTATTTATTGTGAAGAGAAAATTGCCGTTAATCTTGCCATTCAAAGTGCAGTGTAAGTGTGGCCAGTTATTGTTCCTTTAAAATTTAGTTGCAATTCTGTAGTATTTAAACAGTATTAATTCTGAAATATGCCTTTGTGGCCCCAGAACGTTCATCTTCAGTTTTCATTTTCATCTGTTAGAACTGTGCATTCTTCTAGTACTTGTGCTGTTCAATAATAGAGAAGCAGGGGCTGAAGAGATGGCTTGCCAAGCATGAGGACTGGGTTGGGTCCTCAGAACCAGTGTAAACGGCTGGGCAGGGCAATGCAGGCCTAGAATTCCAGTGTTGGGGAGATGGAGATCTCTGGGGCTCCCAGGCCAGCCAGTTTAGCTCAAATTTAGTGAGAGACTGTGTCTCAGAAAATAACAGGGAGAATGACTGAAAAGAACACTATCAAACTCTGCCTGTACACACATGTATACCCACACACATGAGCAAGTGCACACAGACACAGAAGTAATTGTTGTGGTTCTTTGGTTTTACTCAAAACGTTTCTAGCATTGCGTTGCGTTATTGTAATAAGTATTATATTTGTAAAGGATCATCTTATAGCTGGGCTTTTTAGACGGCAAGCTCACAGTAAGGCACAGGTATGTGCTATAGCTAGCCAGTGCCTTAGCAGTCACGGCTCTTTCCAGATCTCGTTTTTGTTTAATTTACTGGACTCAATTTTCTCCAGAGGCTTTGCTTGGCAAGGCTTAAAAGACTCAAAAGGGCAGAAAAGAGAACTGACCTCAATCTAGGAGTATGGCTAACATGTCTTACCCTGATTGGAGCATGTCTTATCTACATTGATAAACCAGTCCTTTGCAGTTAGTCTTGAATTTATACTAAACAAGTTGGGGATTAATGAATCTGAGTTTCCATTTTAAAACCAGTAGATGTTCAGTGTATGAGTGACTCCTTGCCACACATTCCTGTCTTTTATCACCTTTCCACTGCGTGGGGGTGATGTGTGTACATATGTCTGTGGATGTGTGCACTGTGTACATGTGTCTGTGGATGTGTGCACTGTGTACATGTGTCTGTGGGTTGTGTGCACATGTGTGTATGTGTGTCTGTGGGTGTGTGCATGTGTGTGTACATGTGTCTGAGGGTGTGTGCATATGTGTACATGTGTCTGAGGGTGTGTGCATGTGTGTGTACATGTGTCTGTGAGTGTGTGCTTGTGTGTACGTGTGTCTGTGGGTTTGTGCGCATGTGTGTACGTGTGTCTGTGGGTTTGTGCGCATGTGTGTACGTGTGTCTGTGTGTGTGTACGTGTGTTTGAGGGTGTGTGCACATGTGTACATGTGTCTGGAGGTAAAGGCCAGCATCAGATGTCTTCCTCAGTCTCTATTTTGTTTCTGAGATAAGTTCTCTCTGAACCACGTCTATGTGGCCACCAATGTTGGCCTCCCATCCTCAGTCTGTGGTTATACGTGTGTGCCGCTGCACCCAGCTTTCACCTAGATGCTGGGGATCTGAACTCAGGTCTTTGTGCTTACGCAGCAGCCACTTTGCTCAGCCCTATTTCTATTTCTAAAAGGTCTATATAGGTGTGAGAGTGTGCACCTGCATTGGAGACAGGTGTGAGAGTGTGCACCTGCATTGGAGACAGGTATGATAGTGTGCACCTGCAGTAGGAGCCAGGTGTGAGAGTGTGCACCTGCAGTAGGAGCCAGGTGTGAGAGTGTGCACCTGCAATAGGATCCAGGTGTGATAGTGTGCACCTGCAGTAGGAGCCAGGTGTGAGAGTGTGCACCTGCAAGAGGAGCCAGGTGTGAGAGTGTGCACCTGTATAGGAGCCAGGTATGATAGTGTGCACCTGCAATAGGATCCAGGTGTGATAGTGTGCACCTGCAGTAGGATCCAGGTGTGAGAGTGTGCACCTGCAGTAGGATCCAGGTGTGAGAGTGTGCACCTGTATAGGATCCAGGTGTGAGAGTGTGCACCTGTATAGGATCCACGTGTGAGAGTGTGCACCTGTATAGGATCCACGTGTGAGAGTGTGCACCTGCAATAGGATCCAGGTGTGATAGTGTGCACCTGCAGTAGGATCCAGGTGTGAGAGTGTGCACCTGCAGTAGGATCCACGTGTGAGAGTGTGCACCTGTATAGGAGCCAGGTATGATAGTGTGCACCTGCAATAGGATCCAGGTGTGATAGTGTGCACCTGCAGTAGGATCCAGGTGTGAGAGTGTGCACCTGCAGTAGGATCCAGGTGTGAGAGTGTGCACCTGTATAGGAGCCAGGTGTGAGAGTGTGCACTTGTATAGGATCCAGGTGTGAGAGTGTGCACCTGTATAGGAGCCAGGTGTGAGAGTGTGCACCTGTATAGGAGCCAGGTGTGAGAGTGTGCACCTGCAGCAGGATCCAGGTGTGAGAGTGTGCACCTGCAGTAGGAGCCAGTCAGAGCAGGAGAATGAGAAGTTAAGACCAGTCTGGACTATGGTGAGAATCCCTCCCCCTCCCCTGTGTGTGTATCTATTTTACAAATACCTTTGTTTTCTGGGCTTACTGAGTAAATATTGCTTAGTACTGTGTAGTCAGATTGTATGTATGCAGATTCAACCAGCCACAGATCAAACATAGCTGAAAATGGCATCTTTTCTGGATATGTGGTGTACTCACTAGACTTATTCCTTACACAATACAGGATAACAAAGCTTATAGAACATTTTGTTATACTTTTATCAATGAGTGATTAATTAAAGCATTATGGGGGAATGTACAAGTGCCATTTTACAAAGGGGAACAATGGCCCTGAACACCAAGGGATGACTGGATAGCACTACACCCTTTGTAAAGCAACATTTTGGTCCATACTTCTGAGTACCAAACAAGTCCTATTTTAAATATCATGCTTTTTGAACTTAGTTTTCTTTTATTAAACTAAATGGCATTTACTATAGCTGTTACCATAGAAAGAAACCCCCAGCATAGCTGCTGCCCTTGAAGGGAACATTACCCTTACCAGGGTCCACGAATCCAATGCCATTGCTGCTCAGGTTTAGCTTCTTTAGTTCGTGAACATCTTCAAATTCCTTGGGTCGGAGCTGGCTGATTTTGTTGTATGATAAGTCAAGCTTAACAATGTCTGGAGGGATGTTTCCTGGGACTTTCTTCAACTCTGGAAAAAGTGAACAGAGTTTAGCTTGCAGGTTTTTGGCTCCTATTTTCTATGACCCTGTGAGGCTACAGCACAGCAGAAGCTAGGTCCCCTAGCGGGAGGCAGAAACTGGAGAGGAGGAAGCCTCTGCAGGTCACAGGTCACACCTGAGTTGTTTGAGAAGGACAGGGACTCATCTTGGTGACCCAAGATGCCCATCTGGAAACATTTGAAGGCTGGGCCTGGTATTGCACGTGGCAGACAGGGTCAGGAAGATTGCTGCAGGTTAGAGGCCTGCATAGGACACACAGTGAGTTTCAGGCCAGCAAATAGCTTCATAATAAGACCAGGCAGAAAGCAGAAAGAGAGTATACTGTCCAGTTTCTGTCACCTCTGTGCAAACTGGAGTCACCTGGGAGACCTCAAATGAGGAGCTGCTTCCTTAAGATTGGTCTATATGCATGTGTGTGGATCATCGTCTTGATTAATGATTGAGTGGAAGGGCCCAACAAACCATGGGTGGTACCACTCCGGGACAGTGGTCCTGGGTTGCGAGAAAAAGCAGACTGAGCAAGCCGTGGAAGCCTAGCCAATAGGCAGCATTCTCCCATGGCCTCCGCTTCAGCTGCTGCCTGCAACTGGCTTCCCTTGGTAACCATCTGGTGGCGTAAGGTAAACGAAACTCTCTTGGCTTCCCTTGATAACCATCTGGTGGCGTAAGGTAAACGAAACTCTCTTGGCTTTGGCCAGGGGTTGGGAGAGCGATCAGTGACGCTGCTGTTTCCCTCTTGGTATTCGCTCCTAAGAATTGTCACTGTCCCCGCTGTCAGGTGTTCCCTTTCTGTTAGGCTTCTTATACCCATCAGTTTTAGGTGTCCTCTGCCAACACAGGATCTCAGGCTCCATTTCCATAAACCCCACTCTTGACCTTCCCTATCCTTCAAACCACAGCAACGGCCCCCAGTGGATGCCTAAACCCACAGATCTCACTGAACCAAAGCTCTCAGTACACACAGACCAGAGGCAAAGTTTACTTTGTGAAGCAGACGTAGTAAGGGCTCAACAGCAGTATTGTACAGGAAAACAGAGCAATTGCAAATTTGATTTAATAAGTCACTAAAACCTTACAAGTGGTTTATTTCTAGAATGTTCTACTTATTATTTTCAGTTCCTGACTGGCCACATGTAAACTGAAATTAAAAAAAAAAGAAAACTAATACAGGAAAAGGAGGCCCAACATCTTTCCTTGGATGATGCTGAAGTTCATGCTTGCCTTGTGAACCTGACCCCCTTCCCACCCACAGAACCCCCATGCCCTTGTGATGGAGTTCACTTCTGCACGCCTGAAAGCTTCCTGCTCCAGCGTGACCAGGTTCTGGGGAAGAGCACTCTAGTGACAGCGGCGTGACAGTAGGAAACCAAGGCTCACCTCATCGTAGCTTCCACTGTCTGTCTCTATCTTTAAGTCTGCTTTTCAAAGATTGTTACTCACACCTGCATAATATTGTACAGGCAGACTTGCTATGTCTCTTGGTCTCTAGCAAGACGAAGAGGCCTGGATTAGTTTTAGTCAGGGCAACCGTAGCCTATGGAGGGAAGAGACTGGTTCTCATGAAGGAAAACCAGAAGCAACCATAACATGGCCAGACTGACAGACATCTGTAGAGTAGGGCGCCCAAGGGCTTTCTGGGAAAACAGAAATCCTTAGAACCGGGAAAGGTAGTGTTCACTACCCTTTTAGGTACAGGAAGGTGAAAAGTTCCAATGAAATGTTAATGAAACACGACTCTGGAATGTATGATTTCTTAGCCCTGGATATAATACAATCATAGTGACTTGGACCTAGTTTTTGTTTCCCTCTTAGTATCCCAGATTACATGAGCTTTTTGTGCAAGTGTGCATGTGTGTTTATGTCTGTGCTTGTACTCTGGGTGTATATACTCATGCCTGTGAAAGTCGGAGGTCTCTGAGACTTCAGCTGTTCTTCCTCAGGAGATATCCACCTTTTTTTTGTTTTGAGACAGGGTCTCTCACTAGGGTCTGGACTCACTGATTAGCCTAGGCTGGCTGATTAGCCTAGGCTGGACTGTGAGCCCCTGGGAACTGTCTGTTTCTGCTTCCCTAGAGCTGGGATTCCAGGCATATGCACACACCCCCAACTTTTTAACATGGATGCTGAGGACTGAACTCATGCTTTCCCGGCAAGCACTTTGCTGACGGATCTGTGATTCCATCCTGGTCTTAAATGGGATGGTATTGGAAGTTCATTTCTTAATGTGCCCCTTCAAGTCTTACTTCCTGGAATTTCTTTCCCCTTACTATCTGAGCCCTGATCTAGGTATTCTTAATACAATTAAATGAGGAGAACTGTGTAAGTCCCATTATCTTCATTTTACAGAGGTGAAAATGGGGCCCAAAGGAGTTGGGTCATCTGCCCGTAGTTACGCGGTCACAATTTAAACGTGCTAGCCTGGCACCTAAGCCACTATTGCTCTGTTGTTCTGTGCTAGCCCTCTGTTTCCTGTGTACTGCCCAGCTGCCTAGAGCCCAGCTGAGACATACACAAGGGGAAGGGAAGAAGAGATGATAGGCAGGGTCAGCAAATCAAGTCAAAGCCACTGCCCTCCAAAGCCAGTGTCCTCTAGGGGGCATCGGGTCCTTGTCACCAGAGCCAGCACTTCCTCGGTTCTAGAAAGGCTGTTGACCAGAACTGGCCTACTGAACCTGTATGTACTGGACCGGACTTGAGGAAGATGACAGGAGAACCACAGTAAAACACTGAAAGTGGGTTGGCCACAAATCATTGGGTAGAGAAGATGTTTATAAAATACCCGAAACCCAGCTTAAGCAATGGTTTTGTGGGTTCTAGAAAAAGAGTATGAATTGCAGAATCAGTTGTCAGCAAACTCTTGAATAAAAATAGCATCTGCAAGTAGCAGGAAAAGCAAATCAAGAGTTTTCCTACCACGACCTAGAAACAAACAGGAAAATCGTGTTGGTTGTGGTGATGAGGAAAAGCTTCCCCTTCTTTTGCCTCGAACGTGAATAAGAATTACAAATTTGATGCAAAATGTGTGCCTTTGATAGAGAACAGACAAATACACACTCACTCACGCCAAAGCCATTTCTAGGCCAGGAGCCACATGGCACCCATATCCCACATTTACCACCAAGCAAGACATTTTGAGGTGGGGGGAAGGGGAAGGCTTTGAACTTGCTATGTGACTTGAACAAGGAAGGTTTTGAACAGCCGATCCCTTGCTTCCAACTCTGAGTGCAGAGTTTGCAATTGGGGGCCACATTCTTGATAAACACCTCCAGAGATGCTGTATCTACCGTCAGCTCTTACACCCTCTGCCCCTCTGCCAACAAAACCTCACTATGAAGAGGATATTGAGAAATTTCCTTCACATCATTTTTCCCATTTAGTAGGCTTTTGGTTGTCAGCAAGCACAGGGCTAATTTGAAGACGCAGTAGTAGTTAAAGAGACATACACCAGCTTGTTTATTAGGAATTAAAATGTCTTAATTATTATTGAAATCAGGGGCAACATTGTGGCCCTAATATTGGAAGCACCTGGAGGGAATTTGCCTATATAATTCTTCACATCCCTCCAAGTAAAATTGGCAAATTATTTTGGTAAATTTAGACCTAAAAGTAGTTTTAGAGTTCATAGTTTGTGTTCTTGGAAAATCCAGTCATGTCAGTGTGGCATAAATGTGCCTTTCAACTAATCCCACACCCATTCCCTTTGAAAAGCTGAGTTATGTTGGCAAAGGCCTGCCGCTCAGTGAATAAAGCTATTATATATATTTTGCTGTCAGATGTCTAAGGTGAAAATAGCAATTTTTGAGGTCTACGTGGTTGAATTGGTGCACGTTAGTGCCCTGCGTGGGTCATCCGAGTCACTGCCATTCGGTCGGGAACTGAATCCCTCACTGGATGGAACCACACTAGTTTCCTGGTTGTTCACCATGTGCTGTTCTTGCATAGAGCTCAGGAGGAGGCTTCAATACTGGAAGCCAGCACACAGGAGATGTGTGTAACTTCTTGGTGTCATGAAGGAAGAGATAGTATTGCAGGGTGGCTTACAGCTTGAATGGTAAATTACTACTGCCTCATGATCTCCTAAGGGCAACTTCTCTAAACCCATCTTTGTTGTTTATGACATGACATTGATCATGTCAGTTATGGCAGCACTACTTCAGGGCTGGAGGAATAAGTTACCATGTATTTAACCATAGGCAGCTAGAGAGTGGCTTTTGTTCACAATGCTACATGCTTTAAGTCTCTGGAGATTAAGTATTTTGTGTAACATGTATAGTAGAGTCATCAAAGGCACTGATACACTCCAGCAGGGGCCTAGCAATGAATATTACTGAGAATTTGCTAATTTAGTATTTGTTATATATTTATAAAACAAAACAAAGAAGCTAGATTAAGGTTGTCATATTTGAATTCTAGCCATGATTTTAAGCTGCTATGTATTTCTGTTGTCAAAGTTGCCTAAGTTACTGCTTTGACAAAGCAAAGAAAATCAGCTCAAATATCACCCAGTGCCCAGTGCTGGATGCTAAAAAAAAAAAAAAAAAGGAGTTTAATAGGCTTTTTCTCATAGGAATGAGACTTAAAATAGAAATGTATAATAAAGCAAAAATGAGAAATAAACAATGAATAGAGTTGATAGATTTATGTAAACCACAGTGAAAGGCATTTGTTCTTAATCATGAAAAGAATTAATTAGCCTTTATTTTGTAATGTACAGTTAGAGGCTCTGCCTGGTATTGGGATGGAGGAAGGCCAATCAACGGATACAGGGGTGAAGATGGGTGGGAGGAATTGTTCTGATGTGCGAGGTCATAGCGTAAGTATGGCTGACAACAGCTGGACATCTCAGGTAGCTGGCAGACAGACTATCGAATGCTTCCAGCACAAATGATGCATGTCTAAGGGGACAGATCAGTTACTCTGATTGGATTGCTAAACATCATATACTTTAATTAAAATATCACATTGTATCTCACAAGCACACAGAATTACTACTGCATGGCAATTAAACATTTAATAAATGAAAATATGGGCTCTGAATTTACATAGTCACTAACAATTAAAGGGACGTTGATTGTCCTTTAATGTATGACTCAGTGTTGTGTAAGCTTAATGTTTGACTCAGTGTTATGTAAGTTAAATTTATGTGTCATGAAATGTTATTCATATTGGTTCCCTGCAGTTTTGCAGCAAAGATGATTAATTTGTGGGATATTTTTGGAAGATTATATTTAGGCAACAATAAGTTGCAAAAGGAAAGCAATAAAATATGTTTTATAGCTGATGTTTGCCAAGAGAAATGTTTTATGGGAAAAAGGCAAAATCAGGACTTTGCTCATTGGTGGGGGTTGTAGTGGGAGTGGCCTAAGAATAAGGAGAAGTGAGACAGGGCCTCTCCACACAGCCCTGGAGAGCAGCCTGGCCTCAGACTCACAGAGACAGATCCGCCTGCCTCTGCCTACAGAGTGCCGGGATCAAAGGCGTGCACCACACCCCGTTTAACTCTGACCTCTCATGGTGTGGCGTAGTCTGGTGTCTTACGTGGGTGGTAATTTTCTCAGATAACTGGTGAGCTCAGTTCTACTTAACTCTTCGACACCCACTGCAGCAAGAGCAGAGTCAGCTAAACTTGAGGACAGAACCTCAGTGATACGAGATGTTCCGGCCCAGGGTTCGATCTATAATCTAAGCAGTGCAAAAGAAGGCTCAGAAAAAGGCAGCGCAAAGTCAGCACTCACGCAACGACGCCGAGGATCCTCCAGCCTTGCTGTGGCAAAACCACACCCACCGAGTGTTGGAGACTTCTCCAGTGAGTCCTTGTCGTGGTAGGAGCTTGTTTGCCTGTGGTCAGATTAATTCTGGAAGACTGCAAACACTGACTTGTTAGACCAAGGTTGTTTGTTCTTTTCTTTAACTAGAGACCTTGGCCGACTGACAGCACCTCCTGAACTTCTTGTTCCTCATCTCCAAATGGGGATCCCATTGCCTAAAAGATGACAGCATGTGTGCATGGGCGGGTGCCTGGCACTTGGTAGGTTTTCACTAAGTCAGCACTTTCTCCAAAGCTCGAGGATCCCAGCTTGGCCAGTCCTAGTTATTACCACTGCTCCACCATGACTTCTGCAAGCATACCTCTCTGAGCTCCCAGGCTCAGGCTGATTGGACTAGATGCCAATTCAGAGTCAAGGAAAAAGTGAAAAGGTCTTACCACAGCTTTGCCACAAGTGAACAAATTTACTATTGGATCCAGCTGTCTGATCTCCAACACTAACCAATTCCTGCTTTTAGCCTTCTCGAGAGGGTCTTGTAGGACCTCTTCAATTGTCCTGAACTTTTGCCCACAAACAAACAAAAACAAAAAACAAAACCTCTTAAGATGGATGGAAAACAGTTTTAGCATGCTCAAACTGACTCTAACCCAATGACATCTGGCTGTAACTTAATATTACAAAGAAATTCTTGAAGCATGCCAACAGTGAGGCTTGTTGTCACAGAGACTGGCAGTTCTCGGGTGACTCTTTGGCAGTACCCGCCTGTGCCATTCACATTTCTGAAATCTCCCGTGTTTTCTGAGTTTGTGACTTTGAGTAGATCTTACATGGAACTGTGCAAGGCTGTGTAGGATAGAAGGCCTACCACTGAGTTCCAGACGGTAGGTTACGGTCTAGAAAGTTCCCCAGGCTCATACATCTTAGATTAAGTACTTTAAAATGACTTAATTCTGTCTACTGTGGATAACCTGGGAAGAATTAAGATGTCTAGTTCTATCAGTGTTCATGAAAATCTTGGGACTAGGTAGCTGGAGCACAGAGGCATCATGAGCCTCTGCTGGCCTCCATCTGAGTGCCCACTCCTGGCCTGAGCTGGGAGTGTTTTGCCCTGGATGTTGTCTTCCCACAGATGAATGTATTTTACTTACTAGGTGTAAGTATAGAGGGCACCTGCACTTGTAGCCAAGATGTATTAGGCTCAAAATGAAAGGAATTTCTTACTGTCATAACTTTCCCTGAGCAAAAGGATCAGCTTCCATGACTGGTCCTGCTGTTTTCTTTTTGTAAATATTTATTTAGTTTTTTGTTTGTTTGTTTTTTACCGTGTGTATAACACATTTGGATGGATACCCATGGAGGTCAGAGGCATTGGACTGCCCTAGAGTCAGAGTTATGGGTGGTTGTGCCCCCACCTGATATAGGTGATGGGAATTGAACTTGGGTCCTCTAAAAAAGCAACACTCCCCCCCCCCCCCCCATTTTGAAACAGGGTCTCATGAAGCCCAGGCTGGCCTCCAGCCTTCCAGGTGACAAAGGATGACCTTGAACTTGTTTTCATTTGCTCAGGCTTTGCTTTGCTTGGCAGTGTGAGTTTTTTAAGGAATGTGTGTTTTGAAGTAGTGTCTCATGTAGCCCAGGCTATCCTTAAACTCATTGTGTAGTCAAGGATGATTTTTAACTATGGCTCCTCTGTCCTTACTTCTCAAGTACTGCTGGGATTGCAGGAGTGTGCCGCTCTTCCTAGCTTGTGTGGATCTGGGGGTTGAACTCAGGTATGGGCACACGCTAGCCCCGTGCCTTACCAACTTACATCCTCTTCTCCTGCTCCCTAGTTAGCCTCACAGATCCCACGGTTGGCGGAGAATGCCACCTGACATGCCCCAGGCACCAGGAGAGCAGTGAGACCTTTTCTCCCAGCCTGAAGAAACAGAGAAGGGAGTCACCCACCTTTCCTCCTGCAGTCCAGCGTTTGTATGGGAAACACGTAATTGTGGCACAGCGTGGAGTCGGCCTCCGGCCTGATGACTGGGGGTCTCCCTGAGACTTGGGGCGTGGGGTCCAGTTGCTCCTTTTCCTCTTCATCGCATAATTCTTCAGGCTTTAGCTGCAGCAGTTTCTTATTTTTCAGTGCTGGCGGACTTTCGCACTTGGCATAATTGCCCAAATTCCGGTTCCGTGGGATCTGCAGCATTGAGATGAGTGTTTCTAACTCGCAGGTACAGTGCCAGGGGTTGTCGTAGAGACGCAGGTAGCTCAGGAGAGGGGTGTAAATGAACACCTCCTCTGTCAGCACCTTGATCTGGTTGTGCTGCAGCAAGAGGGTGGTAAGCTTGTTTAAACCAAAGAATGCATCGCTCTCGATTTTAGAGATCTCGTTCTGTTGTAGGTCCAGGCTCTTCAGCCTTTTAAACCTTGCAAACATGTTGTTCTTCAACACACGGATTTTGTTTCTCGCTAAGAGCATGTGCAGCAAGTCTTGAGGCCAGTTGGGTAGCACATATACTAATTTTCTTTCTTGGCAGTCCAGGTATTTCTCGTGGAGGTATGTGTATACATCACAGGGGAGGCCAGGCGCGTAGCGTTTGACTGGGCCTCTCCTGCTGCCACCGGCCCGGCTTCTCAAAGCGCCAGGACGGGCCTTGTGGAGCTCAGCGGCTCTGCAGAAGCAGAGAAGAATCAAGATGGTCACTGTGCGCATCCTGACGTCCAGCTGGCCCCACAGCAGGTGGACCCGGAGTCTTCCTTTGAAATCGAGTTTGGGTAGCTCTAACAAGCACAGGTCAGGGACAGTAAAGCCCAGCTGAGGTGTACAGGTTCCTAGGCGGGAGGAAGAAAGACAAAAAACACACAGTTAAGTGCCATTTTGAGCAATATATGACAGAAACAGCAGATTTATTTTATTTTTTTCTGAGCCTTCTAGTTTAAGTGGGCAAAAAGCGCTGTAGAACTTTCTTCCCCCGTTTACTTGCCTAGTTTAGTCAGCAGACATATGCTTGGCCCTGAGTTTGAATCGAGGCTCTCATTCTGCTAGATTGTACCAACCTCATCTTCGGCATCTGTAAAATGTGGCTTAGGATGTTTCCTGTCCCTGGGCAGATGAAGGGGGCTCAGTGTCTGGCCCGTGGGGAGCGCTCAACTCTTTGGGCCCAGCCTGGTGAACACTCGAATCTATGAGAACTTAAGATGTAAAAGGAAGTTTCTTGTGGACTCTGAGATGTGTAACCCTTTAGCGGGGACCTTCGCGGGCTTCCGTTGCCTTTCTTTTACTCTGCCCTGGCCACCACTGTCAGGTCCCAAAGAAACCCTGGACAAATGACTCACAAATCCAAAGGGATGCTGGCCACTGGCTGCCGGGGCCCTGCTGGATTGCAGGTTCCCTTTCAGAGCCCTGGCTCCTCCTACCCCTGCCTTTCAGAGCCCTGGCTCCTCCTACCCCTGCCTTTCAGAGCCCTGGCTCCTCCTACCCCTGCCTTTCAGAGCCCTGGCTCCTCCTACCCCTGCCTTTAAGAGCCCTGGCTCCTCCTACCCCTGCCTTTCAGAGTCCTGGCTCCTCCTACCCCTGCCTTTCAGAGCCCTGCTTCCTCCTACCGGTGGCTCCTATCCTAGATCTTTGCAGCCCTGAGCATCACTTCTCTCTCCCCAGCCGATCTCTCATGTAACATAGGCCATTTAGGCCGCACCCTCTCTTGGTGCATCCCCGCCTGCATCCTCACCTGCATCCTTACCTGTTATCTGCGTCCTGCGTCCTTACCTGCTTTTTTTACTGCATCTTATCTGCATCTTACCTGTGTCCTTACCTGAATCTCCACCCACAGCTTTACCTGTTTCATGCCTTCATTCTTTCCTGCCCACCTGGAATGCCTCCCCACTGCTTTGGGTCAGGCAGTTCACACAGTCACCATTTGTGTGTGCCCCTCCCCAAGTATCTCTCATGGTACTTACTGTGTTGTCTGTCTGTCTGTGTACCTGTTTCGTTTTCCCTGAGCTATGCAATGTCTGTATTATACAAGAGCTATTTAGTTACATTTATGTAGTTTATTTCAATCATTATGCTTGTTAGCTGTTGGACAGGAAGTATGCTGGCATCTGCAACATGCTTTGAAATGCATAAAAATAATGCAGAATTTAGGACCAACTGAGAGATGGGTGAGTGGACATGTAATAAAACCAGTATAAAATACAGATTGTAATCCAGACAGCAGAGACATAGGTGCTCATGTGTAGTTCTTTCAATTTTTGTATGTGTGTAAAAATGGATGTAATAAAATATTTTAAACTACAACTGAAAGGTGTGTCTGGGGAGACGGCTTACTTAGTGAGGGTGTCAGTAGAGTGTTTACCACACAAACATAAGGACTTGAGTTTGGTTCTCACCACCCTCATAAAAACTGAGTAAGGTGGTGTGTGTCTGTAATTCCAGTCCGGGGAGGGCAGAGGCAGGAAGCTTCTTGGGGCTCCCTGGACACCGAGCCTCACCAGGTACTCTCCAGTTTCACACAGAGATCCAAACAATAACATGAGGAAGCTGATTGTCAACTTTTGCCATTCACATGCATTTGTACATATATTCATATATCACACAGAAGCACACTGAAAAGAATTAAAAACCATGTACCGAAAAATCAAAACACAAACTAGCAAAACAATCAAATTTATTATCCCCAAGTACTTTCAAGCTAAAAGTCCCAAGGATATAGTATTTTTAAAGACAAAATGGTGATTTTTTCTTTCTACATTCTCCCTGTATCCCACAAACAATAATGCATGTGTATATATGCGTTTTTAAAGAAGTCATTTGCACGAGCAGGGAAACCCACATACTTAGAACACATTTCTTGCTGAGGTTTCTATTTAATTTCCAATAAAAATGTTGCAGTGAAGAAATGAAACTTCTGCGGTGTGTTGTTTAGTGACGTCTGCTTGTTTAATCTAGGCCACTGTAAAAACCTGCAGGAGTTGAACGTCTCAGACTGCCAGTCTCTCACGGTGAGTAAGACACATTTCTCTACTGTCGTTTTGCTAGGTCCGAACTTCCACACTGGAGAGCCAGTGGGCACAGCACACACTTTGTGTGCATTTGGGGTTGACTATGGAAAAAGCAAACTATATTAAACACTGGCAAAAACATCTACCCCCTCTGCACAATGTTATCATTAATCTTGTGGCTATTTGCTCAATGTTGGAACCTCTGGCAAATGGAAACTCTTTAATGGTCACATAAAAATCAACTTTGTTTATGTGTCACATTTGTATATGGGACAGGAAGTACTGGGTCCCAGCAAGGTTTATAGGCTTATTTTGGTGGGCTTCATGGCTATTAGTAACCATACCAAAGCAGATGGAGATGAAAATATAACCCCAGGTTCCTAGCCCTGGCCCCTCGTCGTCTTTCTCTCTGCCCCAAATGTGCCCTCCATACTGTGGGCACACAACGCCCTTTCTACAGGCAGGTCTGACAAAATCACTCCATCTTCCATCAACCATTCACTACTGGAGAAACCAAACCCCTTAGCATTGGTGAATCCCGGAGACTCCCTGCAGCTCCATTTCTGTCCCCGCCTCTTCCTGATCCACTCTGTGTGCACAGCCAGTTCCAAAGCATGCCTCTTTCCTTTTCTGAGACAGGCTCTCACTATGTAGACCAGGCTGGCCTCAAGCTCAGAGAGATCCACCAGCCTCTGCCTCTTAGGTGCTGGCACGGGCTCCCACACTGGGTGTGTTCTTGCTTTGCCCTGGCCCTTACCCTTAGGCAGAGTTTGTGGACTGATAAGGTTTAGCATCGCCATCACTTCCTCTGGGCCATCGCTGTCTCTCAGGCCTGCCTCCACAGCTGCTCCTCTGTGTTCCTATCAGAAGTAGCTGCTAACCATAGTACTCTGCCTCCTCCACAAACGTAAGAGACAATAAACTCAGCAAAATGAGTTCATCAGTGGCTGAGAAGACCTAGGTGCCAGCCTTAGCTTAAAGAAAAACATAAGGCTTCAACAACATTTAATATCTAATTCCTCTATATGGCCATGCGTAGTGGGCAATGTGCACAGAACTTGGCATTCCATCTTGTGTTGCTATGTCTGTGCCGTAGTCAACATTAGAAGAGTGAAGGTTACCTACTGAGACAGGATGAGCAGGGGGGAGGACGTAGCGTGTGCCTCACTGACCCTAAGGAGCAGGTCGATGATTCGAAAAGGGAAGAGAAGGGAGTAGGTTCAAATGTGAACAGAAGTGAGCTGGAGGACACTTGGGGGGAAGTGGCCCAAATGGGCAGCTGAGAAACACTGAATATGGAGGCCCAGACTCGAGAGTTAGGGCCATTAATTTCTACTGAAGCCAACCCATTGGGGTGCTGGGGCACAGATATGATTGTAGTGAGCCGTGAAATGGACACGATACAAGAAAGTAAACATGAGTTATAATCTACTCTTTCCAGAAAAACGGCTGAGGGGGTAGGAGGAACAGGGACAGGAAAATGCAAATAGGGGTATAGAAGCCAGCAGAGGCAGTCTCCCCAACCAAAGGAACCAGCGGAGGCAGTCTCCCCAACCCATGGAACCAGCAGAGGAAGTCTCCCCAACCCATGGAACAGGTCTCTGAGGAGACAGAGAACAGAAGGGAGCCTGATTGTGGAATGACCAACACCAGGCAGACGCCAAGGCCCTTTCCACCGGTAACAAGATGCCTTAAGCTGGCTCCTCAGTGTCCCTCCCCCATTGTACGCAGCAATATTGCTTCGTGGTCAGATGTATGCCTGGGTTAACGTTAAGTCACTTTAAGTCCCCACAATGCGGTTTCATGGTCCCCGAACCCATTTTTCCATCTACCTGAATATCACCCCTCTCACCATGACCACAGCCTGGCTACATTTGTTCCTCTTTTGAAACACACTTCATCTCTGCTTTTCCATACACTTTAGAAAAAGTAGCTTTTTAAAAATAGCATTGTAGAGATAAAAACAAACTGATGTTATTATTTACTCAAAGTGAACACTTTAATAATTCATGATATATGCACAGAATTATGGAACCAACTCCAAATAATTTGCAAACATTTTCTTCATCCTTGTGAGAAACCACATGCATTAAACCACTTCTCATTTTATTCTAACTCCTTAGCACCTTGTAATTGCATTCTTCTGGCAGGATTGATTTACTTCTTCTCTGAGGTGGCACTGCGGTCTCAGTCCCTCAGTATTTATACTTTCTACTCTCATATTTATGTTTACATTGTAGATCCCCTTTTCAGAACATGGATCACTTTGAAAAGCCTCGACCCATAGTTTTTTCCATGAAGCTTCCCATTTTTAGAGCAGAACATTTATTTTCCCCAAAGGTGGGAGACATTTTATGAGTAAGTAAAATATCAACATGAAAGTACTAAGACCCTCAGATCACTTCAACTCTTTTCTCCTGATACGGACATGGAGTCTTTAAATTAGCGTCTGGTTCCCACCCACCAGACAGTGCTCTCAGCTAGGTCAGCCGACCTTCCTCACAGTGGCTCATGCGTCAACACAACAAGCTGCTACTTTCTGTTCAGCAGTGTCCCCAAGAAAGCAAGGGACAGACAGACAGGTCGTGGAACCCATAGGAGAAAAAAATTCTTTTTCTCTGGTTGGGCTGTTTCTCTACCAGCAAGTGCCTACAGGCTCCTTGGCCAAGAGAGATGAAGATCTTGGCTAACATGTTCTTCAGATCTCTGACGAGGATTAAAATGGCTGTTTGGAATACTATTCAGCAGAAAAAAAACAATGGAATCCTGAAATTTGCAGGCAAATGGATGGCACTAGAAGAAACCATACTGAGTGAGGTAACCCAGTCACAAAAAGAGAAACATGGTATGCACTCACTCATGGATTTTAGACATCAACCATGGGAGTGCCTGTCTACAATTCCACTGCCAGAGAGGAAGGGAAACAGGAAGGACCCTAAGAGAGATAACATGGTACCCCAGAGAAGGTGGAATGAGGCAAGATCTCCTGAGCAGATTTGGAGCACAGGGTGGGGGAGGGGAAAGGGAAAGAGAGGGAGACAAGAGGAAGTGAGAGGAGGACAGGGAGGAGCAGGAAGGTTGAGTTGGGGGAAGAACAGAGCAGAGCAGGATGACAGATACATAATAGAGGGAGTCATTCTAGGTTGAGGGAGATCTGGCACCAGCGATATTTCCAGAGATCTACAAGGATGACACCAACTGGCAATCTAAGCAATAGTGGGGAGGATACTTTAAATGCCCCTCCCCAATAATGATTTTGATGACTAGAGATACCATCCTAGAAACTCCATCCAGTGACAGACAGAAGCAGAGGCAGACACCCACAGCTAAACACTGAACTGAACTCCTGGAACCCAGTGACAGAGAGGGAGGAGTGATGAGCAAAGGGGTCAAGACTGGGGTGGTGAAACCCACAGAGACAGCCGATGTGACAAGGGGGAGATTTTGGACCCCAGACTGATAGGCCAGCATGGGGCTGATCCAGACCCCCTGAATGTGGGTGTCAATGAGGAGATTCAGGCAATCTATGGGGTTTGGAGGTAGTAAATCAATATTTATCCCTGGCACACAAATGGACTTTAGGGACCCATCCCACAATGATGGATGCTTTCTCAATCTGGACATTTTGAGGAGGGCCTGGGCCCTCTCTGGAACGAAATGACAGACTCTAGAGATCCCCCATGGAGGGCCTCACCCTCCCTGGGGAATGGAGTGGGGATTGGGTGGGGGGCTGGGGAGGCTGGGGGGAGGGAGTGGGCGTGGAGGGGAGGGAGAGGGAGCTGGGACTGACATGGGAAGCAAGCTTGTTTCTAATTTAAATATATAATAAAAAGTGTAAAAAATGGCATTGTTGGGAAATGGATTCATTCTTTCTATGGATATTTTTAGCAACTGCTATGATAAAAACTATCTCATTAGGTGTTAGAAGGAATTTTAATGTTAGTTAATTTTTAGTTCTTGCCTCAGGGAGCATTAGTTCTGCATATGGATACAAAATTGCATTCTTTGAATTTGGCCTTCTAATAGAAAAGCCAACACACAGCCATCTGCATCCAGTTTGCGAACATCAAAGTCTTGTCCAAGTTTGGCATCTATAAAGGGCTAGTAATTTTATCCAGCTCCATCTTACTGTGGTTTTCCCCTTGGAGACATAGGCTGGGAGACAGGCTTACATTTAAAGATGTGGGTAACATTCATTCAAAGATCTTGGCTGTATGTAATCTTCTCTTGTGAAATATATCACACTGAGAATTCTGAGTCCTGCATTGTAGACAAATTCATGAGCCATTCAGCAGTGTGCATGATCAAATGTATTTTATGTGCAGACATTTCCATACTGAGGTTTGCATTCTCTTAAGTACTGAGAATGGGAATTGTCTGAACTTGTTTGGGTGACCAAGCACCTCCAGAAAGGCGAAGACAGAGAAGGGGTTGTTGACTCAGCAGGAGGGAGTCACATCCCCCACTGCCCACAAAGCTCACACCATCCCCCTCATTCTGAGACTTGTAAAGGCAGCTCAGCCAGCTCTCTCCCCTGTCCTTGTCAGGTGGCTAAGCCAACTCTCTCCCCATCTTGTTCTATCTCACTTACATCCCCACCAAAGTGTTTTACCAAGCACAAGGTCTCTGTGAGCCCCGACTGGCACTTAGCATTTTAAAGACAAGTTTGCACATGCTAAAGTGTGGTGCTGCATATGATGGTGACTGCCTCTGATTGTTGAGGGAAACTTGTACAATATTTACTGTATTTGTCTACACACATCTGAATCCTACACTTGCCTCAGGCTTCCTAGTGCTGGGAATATAGGTATACACCATTATGCCTGACAGTAACTATATTTTCTATATTTTTATATGCAAAGTAGCTCATTGCAGTCAAAGCTTGACACTCATCTGGTTTTCTTCAACTTCAGTTCAAGACCAGCATTGTCTCAGGTCAGCCATAGCTTTCACTCACTTCAGCTTAATTCCCTCTCTCCAACCCCAGTCACAACACTGGATCTTGTGCCTTCAGTACACCTTGTGCATTGTCTATATTTTATGTCGTAGTTAGGGTGTCTGTTATCATGAAAAGATACCATAAGCACACCATGACACCACAACAACTCTTACAAAGGGAAACATTTAACTGGGGTGGCTTATAGTTTCAGAGGGTTAGTACATCATCATCACGGTGGGACATGGCAGCATGCAGGTAGACACGGTGCTGGAGAAGGAGCTGAGAGTGCTACATCTTGACCTACAGGCAACAGGAAGTGAACTGTGTCACTGGGTATAGCTTGAGCATAGGAGACTTCAAGGCCCACCCCCACAGTGACACTTCCTCTAACAAGGCCACACCTACTCCAATAAAGCCACACCTCCTAATAGTGCCACTCCCTATGGGGACCATTTTCATTCAAGCAACCACATTTTACTTTTCAAATATATAAACTGAGAGCATCTCAGAGTTATCATAAATTTGGTGAACATTTATTTAGTGTTTTAAATGTACCATTCCCAGAACTACAGAAATTTAGTCCACACAGACAGATGACATGCCTGGGTTAAACATAGCCTTGCTTTTAATGAAGTCCAGTTGCTGAGAGAGTTCACCACTCCAATCTTTCAGAATAACAGGCTAGTTATAATAGAATAACAGTGACCACATTTCTGGGCTGTCACACTGTCGAATACTGGAATTTGCAAAGGTTGACCTTTTAATAAAACATCTTTGTGATGTAGTGAAATTTTATTTCTAAAGAAAGGGGAAAGGAGGGAGCAATGAGGCTTCAAACAACATGACTAGTTTCTACTTTTTAGTTGAAGTAGTATCAAAGAATATGAAGGACCAAGTTATGCATGAATATTTTCCTGGGACAGGTTTACAGATGAGAGATAATGGAACAATTGAGAGGCCTCTGAGGGTTTGATACGATTTTCCCTTTTCTTTGGTTATGCAGGATGAATCAATGAGACACATCTCCGAAGGCTGTCCCGGGGTCTTGTATCTCAATCTGTCCAACACGACTATCACCAACAGGACTATGCGGCTCCTGCCCAGGTATGCCGTGTCTGTTTGTTAGCCTGAGGTAGGGTCTCAGATGTACTTCAGGATGGCCTTGGACTCATTCTTCTCCATCCTCTGACTAATGCTACTTGTATTATTTGTATCACATTGACACACTGAAAATGTTGTGTTCTCCTAGGCTTCGATTTGTTCTAGTTGACCTCAAAGACAATCCCCCCTCGTCAGCACCAAACCACGGCAGCGCGATAAGGGGCAGCTTCTTTCCCATTCCCGAGCTGGCATCTCTCCTCTCCTCCTTGGCAGGTGCAGCTGACCACTGGCTTCTGTCTCGACAGTGTTTTTGTTACTCTGAGGCACTGTACCCAGTAGCTTGAGATAGACCTTCCTGTCTCTTTCTGCTCTCCTTCCTGGGCATTGAGCTTGCCCCAACCTCCTTTCCAGTGTCTGAGACCTTTCTCTAACAGAGCTCCCACAGGCCTCCTCCCCAGACTGCTGTCCAGGTCCCAGGTCCCCTGTGTCCCACTGAGAGGCCACCACTTCCACACTGCTGAGTTTTGACTGTCTATCAGCTTTGATGTCCCTGGAGTGTGGCGGCTGCTATCCCTTAGCCAGCACATGTCTGGTGAAGGTACAGAAAAGCACAACATGTAGCAGAATCGTCAACCTCACCAAATGTTTTCTTACTCAGTTATTCTGTGCTTACCGTGGATATACTAACCAGGCACTGTGTCTGGTCTTTGGGAGATGTTCAAATGTGACGTTGGGGACAGTCCTCAAACCATTGGGAAAGACTGAGTGCTTCTTGAGACTAACTTTTTGATCTCCTTTGAAAATTAACAATGAGACATTTGGAAAAGCTTAAACAAATCCTGGGTGACGATTTTCTTCATGTTCCAACTCTAACAGTTATCTGCAAACGGGCAAACCTCAGGAAAGTGGCACGGCACTTCCGGGTTTGTCAGTTCTGCAAAACCTTTCTTTCAGAGTTCCTCAGGCACCTCAGAACATAAGGAATCTTCACCTAGCCAGGCAGTTAGTAATCATTCACTTTTTATTCCTTTTTTTTTAAAACTCAGGCATATAATCCATTTAGAATTTATTTCAGTGACAAAAGAAGCAGTGGCCCAAACTTGTGGTCAACTGTTCCCAGCGTGGTTCAAAGCTGGTTCTGCGTGGCTCACCGGCTGTGGTTTTACATTCTCCATTTGTAATAGCTGACCATCCAACATCATCTATTGACCTAGTTCTGTGTGGTTCTTTCTTATATAGTTAAAATTTAGACAGGCATAAGTGCTTAAACACATTCATTATTAGTGCCCCTACATATAGCTGTGCCCACATCTCTGGGGTGTTCACAGCCATTGTGCCTGCTCCTCTTTGGGTGACTAGTCCCCAGCAGCTGGGAAGGGCTGTTGGGAGTGTTTCACACCATGGAAAATGGCAAACATGACAAGAAAAAAGACTTGAATTGTTACTTTGACAATTGTTTAGACTGACACTGACAGAAAAGGCAATTTATAAAGAAGATTAAACTTAAAAGTTTGTCTTGCCTGTAGCCAGCAAATAGCATAAAAATTGAGGTAGTATTTTTTCTTTCAATCCTGTAAGATGATCTGATTCAGCAACCAAAGCCCTCTTGCTATTGCCAGTTCGTACATTCTGGCCCCATGTCTCGGTTGCCTAACTCTTTTCTGTAATGTAGCAGATGTAAAGTTTGAGAAAAATGAGTATAATGTAACTCATAGAACTATACTCATGCTTCAACAGCAGTGATCAGTTGGTGGGCTACCTCTGTAAGTATTTGGCAAAAATCAATGAAAGTATCCTATGAGAACCAATTGGCTACATGAAACTGACTATAACTGATACTGTGTAGTCTATTATTATTTATGTATCACATGGTACCTAGCCTTTGTAGTAAGATAAAAACATTTTACTGTACATATTTGCACATGATTTTGGAGAACAGTTAGATATTTATCACTATTTTAGCACTTAAAGATAAAATAATGATTTATCTATAATCATCCTCTTAGGAATAGAGGTTTTTTTTTTACATTTTTCAAAGTTCATAAATCAAATAAAAATTTTGTTTTGGTCAGAAAAATATTTTAAGTTATTCATAGATGTCTTTTTCGTTGTCATCCTTAGTATCAGCCTTTTGGACTGTTTTCTATCTTTATTTATTAAATGATCCTTTCTGCATTGAAATATGAGATCAAGTATCTTCTTAAAGTTTTCTTTTCAAAATGACACAAACAGAGCTAAGTAATTATTTCTAAATAAGAATTTGGAAAAAGTGCATCAGACTTGTTAAATATTATTTCCACTTTTCAAATAAGTAGCCTATATTTTACTTCCCACTTGACTCAATACTTGGAGAAGAATTCTTTGTTTAAACTGGTTGGCGCTTCAATGTTTAAACTTCTGTCTTTAATTGTGGAAGAAGTATGGGCTGAATTATTTCTGCTCTTTGGAATTCAGATTTCTTCAAGGACTAGTTTGTAATTAGTTTCAGCATACCCATGAATGTTTAAAGTGAAGATAATTTGTTTAAGAGTACAAACTTCTGTGTATAAGTGTGTGTTTATACATAAATTTTCTTGACATGTCATAATGTAGCAGTGATGTTAGTCACTGACTATAACTAAGCTCACAGTTTATTTATTTTATGCATTAAGATAAAGTATCATGCTTTATCACAGATTACAGCATTTTCCCCACATGAAATGATATTCATTTTCCTGGTTAATGTTTTTCCGTGATTTGTGTTGATTTTTGAGACAGGCTCTCACTGATTGGACTAGGCTGCCCTCAAATTTGCAATTCTCCTCCTCAGTCTTCTGAGTGTTGTGATGACAGGCTCACTACCATACTGAGCTGAATCTGCTGTTAGCATTCTATCTTTGTTTAGGCTTTTTGTGGAATAGCTTTATGAATCCCCATCTCTGAAATATTCGTTTTACCAGTTTTTAGTTATGTTTTATGTGTAGCATGTAGCTAGTTTTTATTTTATTTTTATTTTTTGAAAACAGGGTTTCTCTGTGTAGCCCTGGCTATCCTAAACACACACTGTAGACCAGGTTAGCCTTGAACTCAGATTCACCTGCATCTGCCTCCCTAGTGCTGGAATTAAAGGCATGAGCTTCTTTTTTTTTTGGTTTTACGAGACAGGGTTTCTCTGTATTGTTTTGGAGGCTGTCGGTCCAGCCCAGCCTCGAACTCACAGAGATCTGCCTGCCTCTGCCTCCCGAGTGCTGGGATTAAAGGCGTGGGCCACCACTGCCAGGCGAGCTTCTATTTTTAAATAAGCTTATCCCGTTGAAGAGGAAAGGTCAAAAAGTTAACCTTTACTTTTTAAAGATTATAAAATACAAGGTTTATATGTTAAAATCTGAATTTGCAAAGTAGATGATTTGAAACTAGATCGAATCACCTTAGAAACTGCTGTTTTGTTTTCTTCACTTTCTTTCATCTTTCCTCCTTTTTAGACAGGTCTTGCTATGTAGCCTAGGGTGGCTTGGAACCCACTACGTAGTTCAGGCTGGGTTGAACCTGTGGCCATCTACCTGTCTCAGGAATTACAGATGTGAGCTACCACAGCTGACTGCCTCCTCTGCTTTTAAACTTAAAAGATTCTTGGTAGCAATGTGTTAAGCTACTCCTTCCCCTTTAGGTGATTTAGTATATATTAAATATATTAATATATAGAATATGCTAGTGTGACTATGAGGCAAATGCCGTTTCCAGGACAACGATACAAAAGTTGAGTTCCACGTAAGAATTTTGTTTTGGTTGTGATTTCTGCTTCTTTCCTCTCAGTGAGCATTCAGAACAAAGTTCCCTTGTTGCTGATGACTTTTGTCATACAAAGAACCACGCACTGACTTATCAGTGATAAAACGCAGTTCGCAGCGATGCCTGTTGGTGTTGTGTTTCCCGCTGTGTCTTTAAACTGTGGACACTGGGACAGTTGTTGCTGCTTCTCACTCCTCTGCGTTTCCCTTAGTGTTCTTCCAGAAGAAGTCAGCTGCCAGAAGTAAAAACATGCTGGCTGCCTTTAATAGCAGCATTGATTTGTTTTATTTGAGTGTTTTTCTCACTTTGGAGACTTAGATTTCTAGAGTTAAAGATGTGGACTGCCCACAGCTCTTTCTCATTATTCGTTTGTGGGTTTTTGGAGGGGTGGGGAGGGAGTTGTGCCGCATGTGCCTGAGGAGGTTAGGGTGACACTTCAGCCTAGAGCTGTCTGTGGTCATCAGGCTTTGCTGGAGGAACACCTTTACCTGCCGAGGCGTCTCGCAGGCCCATCCTTTATTCTAGGAACATCTCTGCCCGGCACTATTTTCTGGCTTTAATCCTTCCCAGTTATGTCCGTTCCTAGCTATGGCAGGCTCTGTGGTGCTGTGCACAGCACCCTGCCCATTCTGCCTCCTGTCTCCCTTCCTCTGTCTGTGCTGACTCATGCCACGGGCAGAGTCACCCTGGAGAATCATGCCTTGTCTAGACCATTCCCGCTGTCCCTGGCATTTTCTAGTTGAACATACCTGTGTGCGCTGTGCAAGAGAAGCCCTGCACCCTGGCCATCTTGTTCTTCATGCTTCTCTTCCTTGCAGAGGGGACACACTTCCCTTCCTACCTAATTCTCAGCTCTGGGCATGGCATCCCAGAAGACCAGCGAGTTCTCCTTTCCCCGCACCCCAGGGCGAGGTCTCACTTACTTACCCTTCTGGAGCACATGTGGGAATAAAACTAGTATGATTTTTGAGAAGACATGTGTGTCTTGTTGTGATTTCTCAGGCTGATCTTCAACTTTGCGTGCGTGTGTGTGTGTGTGTGTGTGTGTGTGTGTGTGTGTGCACATGAACGTACATATAGGCCTAAGCATGTGAGTGCAGGTGCCCTCAGTGGCTAGAGGTGTCTGATCTCCTGGAGCTGGAGTTACAGATGCTCACGAGCCTGACACAGGTGCTGGGAACTGATCTCCAGCTCTCTGCAAGAGCAGCACGTGTTCTTAACCACTGACCCATCTCTGCAGCCCCTGTTAAAGGGTTTTGATGGTATGAAATCCTCTCTGCTTTCACTACACTGTAACTGAATACAGGGGATACAGGAGATGGCTCGGTGAGCAGACACTGCCCTCCAGGCCACCCGAGTTCAGTCCCTGGGACCAACAAGGTAGGAAGAAAGAACCAGTTCCTAAAAGCTGTGATCTGACCTCCACCTGAGTGCTGACGCGCACGCGCGCGCACACACACACACACACACACACACACACACACACACGCATGCGATAAAAACTAAAAGATCTATAGACTTTATAGACTACCAAAACTGTTATAAAAATAGTCAAGTAAATTCCTTAATTCTCATTTTTGGTGTTCACTGATCGTATGGATTTAAGGAAGTAGAATGATAGGTTCAGGTAAGAAAGAGACCTCATGTGACATCCTCCAAATCCTTGTCAGATGAGCATGTTGTGGAGTAATCTTTTTGTACACTGCAATTATGTGTCACTCGGATTGGTTTAATAAAAAGAGCTGGCTAAAAACAAGCCCAAGCTATTGGCCAAACTTTCACAATTAATAATGTCCTGAGTAGTGATTTGAGAGCTGGATGGTTCCACAGAGAAAGGTTCACTACAGACCATCGAGTCCTTTAAATGAAAAAAGATGGCACAAACTTCATAGAAATACGAAGATGTTGGCCTGGGACACTAGTTTAGTTCATAAAGTGCTTGCTCTGCAAGCTTGACACCTGAGTTTGATTTGCTAGAAACTATGTACAAAAGATCCTTGAGTTTTCAATCCCAGCACTAGGGAGTCAGAGAGAGACAGAGTCCCCGGGAATGCTGCCTAGTTGGCTAGCATGCTTGGCATTAAGAGACCCTGCCTCAGAACACAAGGTTGCCATCTTCTTAGGAATAACAGTTGTTGTCCTTTGGTATGTGCAAGTGAGTACACACACACACAATGACACACACAGGCATGCATGCACACAAATACTGACATGCACACACAGGCATGCATGCACACACACACAAACATTAACACACACACACACAATGACACACACAGGCATGCACGCACACACACAAACTAGGACACACACAGGAATACACACACACAAACATTAACAGACACACACACAATTACACACACAGGAATGCACGCACACACACAAATACTGACATGCACACGCAGGCATGCATGCACACACACAAACATTAACACACACACAATTACACACACAGGCATGCACGCACACACACAAACTAGGACACACACAGGCATGCACGCACACACGCACAATGACATACACAGGAATATACACACACAAATACTGACATGCACACGCAGGCATGCATGCACACACACAAACATTAACACACACACACAGTGACACATGCAGGCATGCATGCACACACACACAAACTAAGACACACTCACACACATGCATGCATATACACATGGGCAGTAAATTCAAACAGCAGTATATTTCTTTGAAGTGTAGCAGTAACAAGGCACAGATTCTCAAAGTCTACTGTGCTCCTTTGTTTTCAATGATCAAAATACCATTTCTGTTAACACTATTAGATCTGCGATACCCCTCCTGATAACACCATTAGATCTGCGATACCCCTTCTGATAACACCATTAGATCTGCGATACCCCTCCTGATAACACCATTAGATCTGCGATACCCCTTCTGATAACACCATTAGATCTGCGATAGCCCTCCTGATAACACCATTAGATCTGCGATAGCCCTCCTGATAACACCATTAGATCTGCGATAGCCCTCCTGATAACACCATTAGATCTGCGATAGCCCTCCTGATAACACCATTAGATCTGCGATAGCCCTCCTGATAACACCATTAGATCTGCGATAGCCCTCCTGATAACACCATTAGATCTGCGATAGCCCTCCTGATAACACCATTAGATCTGAATACTCATTTAATTTTTTCACACTTCTCAAAGGCAAGAGCAGATGGGATCAAATTCATATGACCCTCAGGTAAGAAAACTGAGGGTCAGGAAAGCTGTAAGTCCTGTCATTTGCTAAGGGGTTTCAAAGGGGCACTCATCTTTACTTAGCAGCCAGGAAAGCAATCTGCCACAGGATCGGGAAGTTGTAGTAAGCATCAAGGCTACAATTCTAACTCAGTTTGGTCCGAGTCCAAATTCTGGTCTATTTTCCATGGTGGTGTACTGTCCATTTCACAGTTCCTGACCCCACATTAGAGAGTTGTTACAACTGAAATCTCAAGCTCCACTCAAGAAGAGAAAGAGAAAGCATTTCTCAGCCCACTGTGGGGATGGGGAGGGGCGTGTCTTTGGATGTTACAGAGCTCTCTCTTTCCAGGTTCAGCCCACTGCCACTGTCGTCCAAAGGCTTCCCTGGCTCTTCTGTGGAACCCCTGCACACAGTCATTCCCAGAGGGGACCGTGTGTTCTCAATCAGAATTCACCACAGAACAGAACCATTAACTCATATAGACTTGGTTTTCAAGTTTAGGGCTAAGTCTAACCTATGCTCAGTGTTTGCATATCTTATTTTCCATTTATGTGAAGACAAATTTGATTTTCAAGCTTTAAAAGAGGCAAGGGGGCATCCCCCTGCTTCTTCTAGCATCCTCATTTGCTGCTGAGCTGTGGCACATTCCAAACCAAGAGCATATTGGTAATTGTACCAGCAGGCAATAACAGTCCTCACACTGTTAGAGTGACATGCTTTGGAGAACTTGGAGTGTCCTCAAAACACCGCTCCTTACTTGCCAGAACAGACCCATCCTAAGTTCCTCCTTTGTCTTCCGGAAGCTCTCATTTTGGTCATTGTGGTAATGGCATATTTCCTCTGTTTGAACTCCAGTGAGATTGACAGCCTCCTGTGTAATTTTTATTCTTCTCAAGTGTTGTCAACTTAGCTACTCACTGTTCTTAATCCATGTTTAAGCCCTGCACTGGTTATCAGTCTTAATTATTTTTCATTATCATAAAGAAACCATTACTCACAGAATTGTGCATGTTGAAATCTCTGCTTTTGAAATAATTTTCTTATCAGACCCATTTTAAGAGACTGCCATGTTAGGTTTGTCTTCTCCTATCCCAAATCTTCACCAGGATGGAAGAGTTAATTTTCATTATATGTTTATAAAAGGTTTATCTTTCTCCACATTTTGTATGTTAGTTTGGCAAAGGTAAGAGCTAAAAACCAGAAAGCAAACTCTAACTTGGGTTTCAGCAACAAACTACCAGATAATATGCATGCAAGGCTCCTCCTACTCCCAGACAGTCTGACCCCATCAAGTTTCTTAAAAACCTAGCCAGATATTCTTTCTTTTCCTTCGGAACCTCGTGCTGTCTGTCTGCTCCAGTCCTAAAATCCCCTTGACTTAATAGGAAGGGAGGCAGCCACTGCTAAAGTGCTGACCTTCTGCGAGGCGAGGGCGGGATGAGCGCAGCTTTGTCACCACGGCTGGCTCGGGAAAGAAGCGAGAAAAGCTCAAGCTTGCCTTTCCTTCTCCCTTGTCGCCCCGTCGCTCCAGGTACTTCCACAATTTACAGAATCTCAGCCTGGCTTACTGCCGAAAGTTCACGGACAAAGGCTTACAGTACCTGAACTTGGGGAACGGATGCCACAAGCTCATCTATCTGGACCTTTCGGGCTGCACCCAGGTTTGCCTCTCGGTCTCTCAGTCTTCTCTATCTTGCAGCGGGCGGGCACGTCCTCCCGAGAGCCAGCTGCATCCAGCCCTCATAATGCACCAATGCTGCGCATAGAGCGCCCCACGCTCTGCTGAGGTTTTAAATTACATGGCCACAGCTGCCTAAATTTTCTCCAGGATTGCTACTATAGGCGCCTGGCTTCTGTCCACAGGCGTGTCACATCAACAAACAGGCAGAGCTCATTGGATGATGAAACAGACCACTTCTGAGCACAGCGAGAGGGCAGAGTCCAGATTCCAAAACTTTATAGAGCTACTAAGATACAAACAAATGGGGTGGGGTACGTAGGAGATTCCCGGGGAGCCACTTAGGGCCCCATGGGCTTTTCTGGGGGTAAAATGCTACAAGCAAGAAATGTGAGAAGGGAAAGCCCCACCACAACGACTGTACGTGTTTAAAACTGCACTGCACACATGTGCTAAATACCATGAAGATTCAAGGTCTGCGTGGGAAAATGCTTTAAGGAACCGGGATTAGGGAAGTTGGGCAGGAAGCCAGGTAAAGCTGCCGAGGACTGGGCGTGGCCTGCAGAAGCGTTGACTGCCTCATCCACAGCTCCTTCTGCCGTCGATAGTTTCCATAGACTCTAGCTACACTCCTTATAACTGGTTGTCTTCCACGTCTCTGTGTGTGTTTAGATAGTGATGTCCTACTATGTTCTTTGCAATACAGCATGGGTGAGAGCTAGCTAAAATGAATCACAACCGGCTGTAGTTGTCACTTATTGACCTGCGTTGTATTAGGTTAGACTCACCACTCATGCAATGGACTGCTTGCGTGGGTTCTGTGCCCACTTCCCAAGGTTGCAGGTGGTTGACTAAATTGGCTGGTATCACCTGTCTGATGCAGGCCTGTGGTGCTGGTCAAGTGAGAAACACCTGGACAGGGGGCTGCGGGGCAGCGAATGCATAGAATTCTCACGCAGACACACTGCTGCCTGAGCGTGCTTTCCTAGTGTTCTAGATGGGGAAGGGAGGGGTGAGCCTCGGCTAAGGTTGGAAGTGTAGATACCGTCTTGAAACTGGCCTGTGATGTGTGTCAGCCCTGACCAGGCCTTAAGGTGGAGTCACCCTTGTCTTCCTCAGTTTGCCTAAACTTCAGGTAGCTTCTTGACCTCTGAAGTCTCGTTTTTTAGAGTGCTTATTCAGAAAACCTGCAACTGTTGGAATTGCTCATTCTTCCTCTTCCTCCTTTGAGGCAAAAAGCTTTAAAAAGAAGTCTTTGATAGCTTTACAACCTAGGAATGTCTTCCTCCAGGATCTGGGAGCTGTCCCTTTGACATAATCACATCAAAGCAGATAGTGTCCCATCTCCCAGTTTCTGAGGGAGGGTAGAACCCTAACTTAGATGAGTACCAAATAGGAAACACAGACACTCCTATCTCAGAGAAAAGTATTTCCAAATACAGAGATAACTTCATGTGCTTGACAAATTCCATCCCAAACTCTCCTGATTATAAATCCTCTAGGACTTTTCTAGCTGCTCACTCTGGATCTTAACCACCACAATGGGCCGTATCCCCTCATTCTTCTTAATTTCCATGTGGGTGTTCATTGTAATCACAACACACAATAACGTACACACACTCATGCACACACACATGCTCATCTATACACAATTATGTGCATACACATTCATACACACACTCATGCACACACACACACTCACACATACACAGTCATACACACATGCTCATCAGTACACAATCATGTGCATACACATTCATGCACAGACTCATGCACACACACACTCATCTATATACAGTCACACACATACACATTCATACACACACTCATGCACACACATACTCATCTATACACAGTTATGCACATACACATTCATACACACACTCATGCAATACACATTCATGCACACGCTCATGCACACACACACTCATCTATACACAGCTATGCTCATACACGCTCATACACACACTCATGCACACATCCTCCTGAACACACTCGTGTGCATACTCGTGCATCACATTCATGCACACGCTCATGCACACACACACTCATCTATACACAGTTATGCACATACACATTCATTCATCCACACTCATGCACACGCTCATACACACGCTCATGCACACATCCTCATGAACACACTCGTGTGCATACTCATGCATCACATTCATGCACACACATTCTATGAGCGGTTATCTTTAGATACAGTAGAATCTAGGTGAGAAGTTTAAATCTGTGTTCTTCTGCCAAACATACCTGGTCTGTCACTGAAAATTGAACCAAGGTTTAAAATTGCAGGGTTTTTACACACACAAACACCTGGATTTAAACATAAGTAAGCATAACCCAAGGCTAGAGCCATCCGAGTGGGGGTGTGCCCAGCATGGTGGCGGTAAGTTGGAGCTGAGTCAGCCTGCTGCCTTTGAGATGGGACATGTTCTCATACTCAGTTTGCAGTCCCTTTTCTGTTTGATCACGTGTGTGGCTTTACATGGTGACACCTGTAACTTACCGCCTGTTTGGTTTTGACTGCTATTTAAATTTGGTCTGGAAGCCGGGCGTTGGTGGCGCACGCCTTTAATCCCAGCACTCGGGAGGCAGAGGCAGGAGGATCTCTGTGAGTTCGAGGCCAGCCTGGTCTACAGAGTGAGTTCCAGGACAGCCTCCAAAGCCACAGAGAAACCCTGTCTCAAAAAACCAAAAAAAAAATTGGTCTGGATGTATGAGAATAAAGCTCTTGGGTTGAGGAGAAAGCTCAGTCACAAAGCCTTGCACCTGTGCTGACCTGAGTTCAAGTCCCAGAACCAGCATCATTTAAAAAGCCAGGAGTGCTAGTGGGCTTCACTTGTAATCCCCTACCATGTGGAGGCAGAGGCAGAGAGAATCCCTAGGCTTTCTGGCTTTGGCTTAGAGTTTCAAGTGCTGTGACAAAACACCATGATGAAAAGCAACTCGGGGGGGGGAGGGGTTTGCCTTAGCTGTGTGTCTGTAGACCCACAGCGCAGTCCGTCACTGGGAAACCTGGAGGCAGGAGCTGATGCAGAGACGGTGGAGGGACACTGCTCACTGGCTTGCTCCCATGGCTTGTTCCCTGCTTTCTTATTCACTCTGGACCACCAGCCCAGGGATGGCACCACCCACGGAGGACCGGGACCTCCCCCATCAATCACTGAATTAACAAGATGCCCCACAGGCTTGCCAACAGTCCAGTCTAATGGAGGCATCTTCTCAATTGTGGTTCTCTTTCTCAGATACCTCTAGATCGTGCCAAGTTAATAAGAACCAGGACAGACCTGGAAACTAGAATATGTCTCCTATGTTTGGAAACTGGCCCTAAGAAGTTATATGTAAATGTGCACCAAGAAGAATTAAGAAGACGAGACACCTGAGTGGTTTTCAATGCTGTTTGCCGTGTCTGCTGATGGCAGACACGAAGGGCAGAGTGGTGTACTTCCCTGTCAGGAACTTGGGATTGACATAAAGTATGGCAAGGATGAAGCTTAAATGTGGTCACTCCTGCCCAAAAAAGGTATTGAGAAAGAATTTTAGCCAAACGTGATAGGAAAATAAATCTACGATGGAGAGCTGTAGTGTAGAGTGAAAATCAATTCCATATGTTTTAGGAATAGTCTTCATTCTTTTTGGATTGGAGAAGCAGTCTGGGTGCAGTAAGGCATTAAGTCATGCGACTGCTCTTTTTTGTTTGTCTCCTTTTGTTTTGTTTTCGAGACAGGGTTTCTTTGTAGCCCAGGCTGTTGTGAAGCAACTGCTCTTCTAATGAGTAGTGGGACTGGCCATGCTCCTGCCTCTGCTGCTCTGTCAGCTTTTTCTGTCAACTCTCCCTTCACAACCAGCGCCAAGCCAGGAGAGCCTTCTGCTCTTTCTCATAAACTAGGGCAAGCTCTAGCCTTACATTGTCATTAAATCATGATTTTTAAGTTAGCAAATGGTTTTTAACATTTAATTATTATTAAAATTGTGTAGTGTATGTGTTTCGCATATGCCACAGTATGTGTGTGTGTGTTGTGAGATGTGGCAGTGAGTGTACACGTGTCACAGTATGTGTGTGTGTGTTGTGAGATGTGGCAGTGAGTGTACACGTGTCACAGTGTGTGTGTGTGTGTGTTGTGAGATGTGGCAGTGAGTGTACACGTGTCACAGTGTGTGTGTGTGTGTTGTGAGGTGTGAGGGTGGCTGCACTCTTGTGAAGTGTGTGTGTGTTGTGAGATTGGGGTGGGTGTACACAGGTACAGTGCATGTGTGTGTGTGTTGTGAGGTGTGGCAGTGAGTGTACACGTATCACCATGTGTGTGTAGAGGTCAGAGGATGATTTGGTGAAGTCAGTTCTCTCTTTCCACTATGTGTGTCCCAGCATTTGAACCCAGGCTGCCAGGTTTGCATGCTATGCACGTCTATCTGATGCACCAGCTCACTCAAAGTTTTTCTTATTACATGTATAAAAATTTGAAAATTTATAAATGAAAAACAGAAATATTTTCCTCAATATATGTTTTTATTTAAATTAGAAACATGCATGCTTCACATGTCAATCCCAGCTCTCTCTCCCACCCCCTCCTCCCTTGTCCCTCCACCAGTCCCCCCAACACACAACCCAATCCCCACATCATTCCCCAGGGAGGGTGAGACCCTCCATGGGGGAATATCCAGAGTCTGTCATTTCATCCAGGGCAGGACCTAGGCCCTTCCCCATGTGTCCAGGGTGAGAGAGCATCCCTCCATGTGGGCTAGGCTCCCAAAGTTCATTCGTACACCATGGTAAACACTGATCTACTACCCAAGGCCCCAGTGATTTCTGTGGCCTCCTCACTGACACCACATTCATGGGGTCTGGATCAGTCCCTTATTGGCCTCTCAGCCATCAGTCTGGGGTTCAAGAGCTCACCCTTGTCTGGTCAGCTGTATTTGTGGGCTTCATCATCATGGTCTTGACCCCTTTGCTCATCACTCCTCCATCTGTCTCACTGGGTTCCAGGAGTTCAGTTCAGTGTTTAGCTGTGGGTATCTGCTTCTGCTTCCATCAGTCCCTGGAGGAAGGTTCTAGGATGGCATATAAGGTAGTCATTAACCTTCTCTTCAGGGAGGGGCTATTAATGTAGTCTCTCCACTATTGCTTAGTTTGCCAGTTGGTGTTATCCTTGTAGATCTCTGGAGATCTCACTAGAGTCAGATCACTC